CTCCCTCCCAGTTCTACCTGTGATAAGCTGACATAATAGAATTCCAGAATTCTCAGTATAAAAACAAGAAAATAATCTATCACCATGGGTGTAGTTGAGCTTCAAAACAACCCACAAGTGAATCTTGCTTCTCACCCATTCTGCTTGTTCCTACCATCAGTAGTCATTCATTCACAGCAAGAAATATTAGCCAAAAAACAAAATACACTAAAAATGTAAGGTTATTTTTGTATTAAATTCTTAAATTAAAACTCAGGGAATGTTGAAACAAGCAAAAATTTCAATTATTCAACCACGTGATATTGCTCTGCTAGACATTAACGAGGCTGTTTTCAATATGCCACATTCAGCCAGTTCTCCCATTTTCTAGGCTTAGAGCAACTCGGATCAAGTCTCAGGGAGAATCTGAACTCTTGGGAGAGGTTTGTGTTCATGCCAGAAAGCAGAGCAAACAAGCAGAACTCAGAGCTTGCATAGCAGCCCAAGTTTGGGCCAGTTACAGCCCTCAGCTGCAGTGCTGACATCGTTAGCTGATTTCTGATATTTAGGAGGCTTAAATTTCAACATCTAAAAACCAGAGGTCTAATATTGCAGCAGGAGGGGTCGTGCACAGAAGTTATTTAAGCGCTGATATGAAACTTTAATTTGTTGGAACTGTATGTTATGTATACTGTCAACAATTATCAAACTCAACTTTTTTTTAAACTCCTTTTTTAAAAAATTCATCAATTATTATCAAGCTCAACCCTTGTGCTGGTCGTACCACCTGTAAAATCTCACTCTGTGGCAATCACTGTTTGCATTAAAGTTTAAGGGACTTAAATCTCATTGCTGCTGTGTTTTTTTAGGCCCATCTCAAGGCATGGGTCTGTGGGCCCCCACCCCATCAGTCACGGAACCAGGTGGAACCAGGCCTGAACCATGGGCACACATACTATACACATCTGTCAGTTAAAGCAATTGACCAGGCTGGGCTCACACTGCAGCCTTTCCTTGCATTTGTTGGTCAGGTTTGTGTCATCATATGTTCCTGTGAAGTGTTCCTCATTTATGTCATTTTGCATCTGAAAAGTTCTTGACCAGAAACAGAAAAAATTCAGTAACGTTTTTAACCCTTGAAATTCATTGAAAACATTCCCAATTCTTTCCCTGCCTGAAGAGCAGCAAAGTGGTAACTTAAAGTTAGAAAGAAGTGATGGAGACTTCTACCTTCGTCAGCCATGCTGATGAATGTATCCTTCTGGCTCCTGCTTTAAGGGCTGTGGATCGTTGGAGCCCCTGTAAGTAGCTTCTGGATGGGAAAGTCTCATCCAGGAAGGAGCCAATAATGTGGCTCACGTACAGAACAGACTCACAGTTCCTTTCGTGAAGGAAAACCTGCAGCACAGTGCTGTGAGCCATAGCCCCTATCTAGGTGTAGGTGGGCATTTGTGTGCAGAAAAGCTCCAACAGAACTGCCCTCTGACACTGCAGCTTACTTGGATATCAGTATGGCTGGTGGTGCTCATATTCTCACACGTTCCTGACACAGGCTAAAGGCAATTAGCATAACAGAAGGAATCAAGCTTGGAGATGTACTGTTTTGTGAGGGATATCCTAACACCTCTACCAACTCCTATGTTTCCTTCCTAGTTCTGTAGATCTCAGAAGTTACTTGTATTAACCTAGGATCAGTGCTTGCCTCTTACACTCAGCAAAGCTAATAGCATTTGAAGAGTTGTGGGAGAGTCCCCTCTACGTGTACCTGGCCATTAAGGGCAATAAGTTAATGAGTAAGCGATGGAAACCAATCCTGGTCAGAGCCACTGATCAGCAGAGCCATCTGAGAGCATAGAAAGGGTGATCTGGCCAAGGACTCCTTAGGGGTCTGCACTTCTCTGGGTTGTGTGCTCAGCTTTGTTGCAAAGGGGGAAGTGGGGGTTGTGTCCCCATCTAGGGCAGAGACCTTGGGCAGCCCAGCAAGAGGGGTGTGGGGCAGCAGCAGCTGCAGGAGGCTGCCACACTCTGCTCTCTGTGCACTCCTCACACCATCCCTTCTCAGCTGCTTGTAAAACCTAACAGATGTTTCCTTCATCCACTGCAACTTAAAGGTGCCAAATTATCTTACCAGGGAACACGGGAGCATCAGAAAGAGCGCTCACCTTTTAAGCATCACAGAGGCTTAGTAATGAGCTGTAGCAATGTTTTACGTAGGATCACAGTTAAGTCCTGGTCCTCTCAACTTCCCATTTATTGAAGATGGCTCTATTTGGTATGGCACTGAGAACATATTTCAACTCTGTGATCCGCAGCTGTGACTTAGTTAATGATCTCAATAAATCCTACTTAAACAGAGACAAGAAGAGAATTATGCAAATGCATTTCTGTACCACATCTACTTGATAACTGGAATCGTACCATAAATGAGCCTCAGCATATCAACACCAATAACTTTCTTTTTATAGCAGATATGAAAAATGGGGTAGTTTAAGGAATTTTATTTCAGTCGAGCTACATCTGCAGAACGTATAGGAAAAGTCGACAGTTTTTGTAAGAAAAGGAAACATGTAGTGGGCATATACACAAAGGGGGTGGTTAAAACTGTAAGAGCTGACAAGATTTCTGAAATACAGCTGTGAAGGAGATCACAAATTACATTTCCAAAGTGATTTTTCTAAAATAATGATCAGAGTCTCAGCACAGCATTGTGGCTTTCTGAGCAGCAGTCACACTTGGCAGCTGGATAAAACGTCTTCCACCAGTCTCTTGCAGACCCATGCATCCCCTCTGAGCCTCTGTCTTCTGATACCAACTGCTTCATTCTTACTGAGCTGACACGCTTCTAGCTCAAATTTCATAGATTCTTTGCCAAAATCTGGCTTTGTTTGGCATTTCAGGGTGTAGCTGTACAAAGCAAAGGAGAAGCAGAATAATCATTTAATCATGTTTCAAAGCTAGCACTGGGCAATTTCAAATGAATAAAAGCACTTCATTGAAGTACTCCACTGGCATTTATATTACTGAGAAAACAGCCCAGGATGAAGTCAGCTGAGAGCTGCGAAAACCCAAATCCAACAGTGTCACCTTCAGAGGTCCCTTCCAACTCTGAGGATTCTGTAATTCTGTGATCTCTTGGCCAAATATTTGTGTGTTTTAACTACCAAGAATGAGCGTTACAGTTACACACAGTCTCTCTCCCAGCTGTACAGCTCACCTTTTGTACTTACCAGTAAAAATACAGGAGCAGACAACACTCACATCGGCCTCTAAGTGCTACATCATCATTACTGCTTCATATTCGTCAGAGAGCTCTACGTGAGCTCATTTAACTCATTTAACACTGTTTTGCATCGTGTGGACAATTTTTCTTGCATATATCCATTTATGTTCCCTATGCTTTTTCTAAAATTTTTGTATTTTACAGAGTGGGGCAGAGAAAGCAAATTAAAATATTTGTTTGTTTCAAGGGCTATGGAACTGACCATTTAGGCACATATAAGGTGAAGCCTTTCTGTTTTCCACTTACCCTATCTTTGAAAAGGACAGAGATTATTTCATTCAGCACTTGGTCTGGATTCAGTAGTTGAGTCATGGTAACATCATAGTGTGCCTAAAAGCAGTCAGCTCATTCAAAAAAATTAGAATTGTAGAAAATATCTTTTTCCTAAAACTGAAGATGTTACGAACCTTTTCACGCTGAAAGCTGCAGAACATCCAACCATGCAGACAAATGCTTCAGCTCCCCGGTATGATCATCATAAGACTCTGGAACAACAGCAGGAACGCTAACCAACAACTTCTCCACAACTAATATCAAAGCACTGCAAGTTCTAAAATCAGCATAGAATCCAAAGCAGCAGAGATGGGCCAGGGAAGCACAGAGACAGGTATGTAGCCAGAAGTGCTCACTTGACAGGATGGCAGAAGACAGGTATGAACCCATGCTTCGAGTATCCTATGACACTGCCCCTACCACACAGCTGGGGAATTGCGTGTGCTGTGTCGCTTCAGTGCTTCAGATGTCAAGGAACACACAAGGTTCCATGAAGCTTTTCTAGGGATATTCTAGCCCTGAAGTATCATAGTGCAAAAAAAAAAAAAAAAAAAAAACAAAACAACAAGGTACTTTCCAACCTTAAGTTAATGGTTGCAGTTTTGTTTGTTTGTATCACATCTAATACTACATACAAAAGGCATGTCCACTAAGTAACTTCTGCAACTTTCAGACATAAAAAGAGTAAAATGTAAAAAGAGACACAGTACACCAATCGTCTTGTCACAAATACACTAATACTGCAACTGTACAAAGACAGATCAGAGAAGGCAGGAAGGTAAAACAGTTTGGGAAATGAACGTAGGTTGTGGATGTAAAAAGCAGACAGAGGAAAAAAAGAAAAAGAAATTCTTCAATTTCCTGTTCAACCTAGAACACGCAGGACTACTTTCTGTAACATCTGCAGCAAAAATTACATAAAGTTTCATCTTCCACTGTTGTAATCTAGTGCCCATAGTGCATCAGTGATCTTCCATAATGCTATGGGCAAGGGAAACTGATGCAGAATGATAAAAGCTTTTAGAGATAAAAAATCTCACTTAGGTTTGTTTCCAATTACTCAACATCGTGAATTATTGGTGCAGTCTGGACGCTTGTCAAATTAGCTGGGTAGGTTTGTAGTCCCAAGTGTCTTGAACTTGTAACAGCGCCATCTTGTATGCAGCAAAACGACAATTGGATAAGCTTCCAGATCAGAATACAGAAGCTGAACTGCATTTAACCAAACTGCAAAACACAAAGTAATCCTCTTATTATAGACACGCTTGCATGCATCAATCATGAGACAGCTGAAAACAGGATCTTGCATCACAGAAACACAGCAATAATTAGGACAGCAGTCCTAGACTTCAGGACATCCAACTTTGACCACTTCAAGGGCCTAATATCCCATGAGCTAGAGCACTGGAATGTAAGGGAGTCCAATAGAGCTGGTAGACATTCAAGCACCACTTCTTCCAAGCTCACAGCACCTTGGGCCCTTCTCTGAGAATGGCCTTGGCTCTGTAGAACACTGCTTATCAGCCACTATAAACATCCTTGTGTTACCATCATTGTTTTTCTCCTTGAATCAAAAGGATGGCATCATACCAGAAACTCTGAAAACAACAGTTCTATCCCAGCTGAACCAGATAAGACATTTTCCGATATAAAGAACGATGAAAGGCATCAAAAATCAAAAGGGGCAAGATTTTTTTTTGCATCCTTCAGCAAGATGGATCACACTGCTTCCTGTGAGCAGCAATCCATCTTGCAGTTGAGAAATACTTGGAAACCTTTCTGGAGACTGCAGCTCTCTGTAGATTTTTGTTCTGAAATTTCTCTTTCTCAGTCAAAGTTCTCATCCATAGGGCCTGTTCAGTTAGGAGTGAACAAAAGGCTGAATACCAAAATCAAGCAAGCTCCTCCTGTTTCTCACCTGTGAATTCAGCATCACTGCAACTTGAACTGTGCATTGGACAGAAACCTTTCAGTGCTGCCGAGATAAAAAAGGTGCAGAATTAGCTTCAGGATATTTCACAGGCAAAAGAATTCACAGAATCTGATTCAAAATCCTTAAGTATCAAATAAGCAGGACAAAAAATGGCTTCTAAACAAATGATTAAAATGAGATCTTAATGGACGAGTATAAAGGAGGCAAATAATCTCATGCTCACTGTCAGCATCTGTTTAAAGTGACTAATTGTTGCTGTTAGCAATGCTTTGGTGTTTGTTGTTGTTTTTGTGAAATAAAGCCATATGTTGTATGTATATAAGCAAAATCCATAAATACCTTATTAACTATATTAACTGATGTGAAAAAGTATTTTGGTGTGATATTAAAGCTTATTAACCAGTATTTATATAGCTTTTCTTTGATTGCCTAATGTTTTGTTTTGGTTTTTAAAACAAAATTAAATCTGTCATTAAAAAAATCAATTCTTAATCAAGTGCCTTAAGTCAAGGGTCCTTTGTTACATTCCCATCCCTCTTGTTCACCAATAAAGAAGTAAAATTCTTATTTTTGATAAATCGGGAAAAAGGTAATCTGAATGGTTTTTAGTGTAAATGCAAATGAGCTTTTTGGAGTGGGATGAATATGGGAACTTATATATCATAAATTACAGTGATAGACCGGAAGAAAGGTGTATATTTCACATATTATTTTGTCCAGATTATGTTATACTCTGTTTAGCTTGTAAATAGATATATTAAGGGGATTGGTGTTACTCGTGTCTAGAGTGTGGACAGCAGTGGTGGAACAAGTTTTGGGGATTGTTTTGGGGAAACTTCAGGGTAAAAGGAGTAATTAGTGGAAACGTTAATAAACTAATAAAACAACAAAATAGCGCTATGGGAGGGTCGCAAGGGAAAGAAATACCAACAAAACAACAACAACAAACAAACAAACAAATAAACAAAACACCTCTCAGGTGTATGTTGTCACATTGGAAGGATGTTGCAGGAGGGCCAGGGGGAATATTAAATAAGAAACTAGGAACATAAATGGAAAAATGGGACCAGTTTTCTAATTGAGTACCCTAATCATGAGAGACCAAGTGCTGGGTGTCTGTGGAAGTTGAAGAATTGTACGGTTTGATTTGTGGATTTTGAAAGGAATGGGACAAACTGTTCTGATGGTATAAGAAAGGTAATTGTTACTGGTATACAGAAGTAGAATGGAGGGTATGTGGAAGTATAACTGAGGGTACGACAAAGGAAAAAGGGTTAAAGAGAAAGTGAGTTTGCCTGTGCTGGTGTGAGACCAACCCCCCACAATGTTCCCCTGCGAGCAGAACCTGGTGTGGGAGAGTGAGCTGCAGACGGAGACTGCTGCTGTAAACAGCATAACTTGCAAAGGGGGAGGTGGAGAGGACATGGCACTGGAAGCGAGACTAGGCTCTGCAGAGAGAATCCCAGTGTTGGTACTGGGAGCCTCTGGAGAGGAGGAGGTAAATTGGGAATAACAGCAGCTGTTAGTGTCACGGCACTGGAGTGGGGCCGTAGGACCCAGGGATCCACTCAGAGAGACATGGGGGCTGGAAGAGCCCAGATAGGGCACCGCCCCATTGGAATGAAAGTAATGTGTAAATTACTGAGAAAGAGGGAACAATTTCTGGTTGCATAGATGAAGGATGGGAACTTGGAAAGTCTACCCTAGCAGATCCATTGCTTAAATTACAGCTGGGGGAACGGGATAAAGAAGTTTATCTTTTGGTGGATACAGGTGTCTCTTACTGCCCGTGGATGATTTTGTAACAACAGAAGGAGCTAATGCCCAATAAATAATGTAAGAGAGTCCAATAGAGCTGGTAGACATTCAAGCACCACTTCTTCCAAGCTCACAGTTGGGGAATCCTTATGGGTAAGGAATCAAGCGCAGGTGGCAGGAAACCTACAACGATGAGCGAGGAGCTCAAGAGAAATCTCAAATGGAAAAAAGGAAAGTCTGTGAAACGTGAAAAAGGGTCTGTCCGCTTTGTAGAAATATAGAAATGTTGTCAGGACGTGTGGGGCTACAAGAAGGAAGGCTAGGACACTTCTGGAATTATATCTGGTGAGGGAGGTCAAGGACAACAAGAAAGGCATCTGTAAGTAAATCAATAGCAAAAGGAAGATGAGGGAAAGTGAGGTCCCACTACCAAATGCAGCGGGTCCTGGCAACAAAGGACAGTGAGAACGTGGAGTTACTGAATGCTGCTTTTGCTTTAGTCTTGACTGATAAGACTGCCCTGCAGAAACCCAGACTCTGAAGGTAAGAGAATGAGTCGGGAGAAAGGAAGACTTCCTGATGGTCAAGAAGGACCGGATTAGAGATAGGCTAGGCAAACTCAATGCACACATATCCATGGCCTTTGATGGCATGCACCCACAAGCAGCAAGGGAGCTAGAAGAAGTGACTGCTGAACAACTCTCTCTCATTTTTAAAAGGCCAGAGAGAACAGGATAGGTGCCTGAGGACTGGAGGATAGTCATGTCAGTTCACTCTTCAAAAAGGGCAAGAAGAAGAGCCAAGAAACCATGGGCCAGGAAGCCTCACTTCTGTCACTGGGAAGATGATGGAGCAGTTTATTCTAGATGTCATCTCCAAGCAGTGGAAGAAAAAGGGGTTATCAGAACTGGTCAACATGGGCTCACCGATGGGAAATCATGTTTGACTGATCTGGTACCATTTTATTTTATACATCCACATTTATTTATCCACCCTGTTTATTTCACACATCCACAAGTCTAATGAGATGCATCCCACTCCTAATGGCATTGGCTGATATAATCTTCAAGCCACTCTCGATGATATAAGTTGTGGCAATCAGGTAAAGTCCCTGGAGACTGGAAAAAAGGTAACATCATGCCCATCTTTAAAGAGGGTAAAAAGGATGACCCGGAGAACTACCGACCTGTCAGTCTCACCTCTGCGTCGGGAAAAATCATGCAACAGATCCTCCTGGAAGCTTGATCTAGACAGGCTGGAGAGTTGGGCAGGGAGGAATTCAATGCGATGTAACATGGGCGAGTGTAGAGTCCTGCATCTGGACAACAACAACCCCAGGTAGCAGTGTAGGCTGGGACAGACCTGTTGGAGAGGAGAGCAGGGGAAAGGGACCTGGAGTCCTGATGGACAGCAGGATGACCATGGGCCAGCACTGTGCCCTTGTGGACAAGAAGGCAAAAGGCATCCTGGGGTGTAATAGAAGGGCTGTGGTCAGTAGGCGAGAGAGGCTCTCCTCTCTCACCACTCTGCCCTGGTGAGACCGCATCTGGAATATTACGTCCAGCTCTGGGCCCCTTCGATCAAGAAGGACAGGGAACTGCTTGAGAGAGTGCAGGACAGAGACACAAAGATGGTGGAAGGAGCGCAACATCTCCCTTACAAGGAAAGAATGAGGGAGCTGGGTCTCTTTAGCTTGAAGAAGACTGAGGGGTGACTTCATTAATGTTTATAAGTACGTAAAGGGTGAGTGTCAGGGAGAATGGAGCCAGGCTCTTCTCAGTGACACCCAGTGATAGGACAAAGGGCAGTGGGCGCAGGCTGGAACACAGGAGGTTCCACATAAATATGAGAAAAAAATTATTTAGGTGAGCGTAACAGAACACTGGAATGGGCTGCTCAGAGAGGTTGTTGGGTCTTCTTCTCTGGAGACATTCAAAATCCACCTGGAAGTGTTCCTGAGTGACCGGAGCTTCCTGCTCCGGCAGGGGGGGCTGGAATAGATGAATCTTTAGAGGTCCTTTCCAACCCCTGACATTCTGTGATTCCATTCTAAGGCAGATAGAAGGCAAAGAGGTGATACAGGAGAATCAGATGACTTCACCAACGGCAAATCCTGCTTGACCTTCCACGATGGCGTCACATAGTGGACAAGTCAATGGACAAGGGAAGAGCCACTGATATCACCTATCTCAATTTCAGTAAGGCCTCTGATATGGTATCCCACAACATACTTCTCTCCAAATTGGAAAGGTATGGATTTGATGGGTGGACTGTTCAGTGGACAAAAAAGGGGACGGAATCTTCAGCTGGGTCTGACAGAATAAGGGGAAATGGTTTCAAGCTCAAAGAGGGTAGATTTACATAAGGAAGAACTCTTCTGTGGTGAGGCACTGGAACAGGCTGTCTCATAATGCGGTGGATGTCCCATCCCTGAAGACTCTCAAGGAGAGGTTGGATCAGGCCGTGGCCAACCTGATCTAGCTGTGCATGTCGCCGTTCATTGCACGGGACTTGGACTAGATGGCATTCAGAGGTCCATTTCCAACTCTAAGGATTTTATGATGTCATGACCAGCTGGGTAGATGAGGAAAGAGCAGCGGCTGCTGTGTACTTTGAATTCAGCAAGACACTGAATTGACATTGTCTCCCATAACATCCTCATAGGTAAGCTTAGAAAGTGTGGGATAAATACTAGAGAGTGAGGTGGATTGAGAACTGGCTGATAAGCCAGGGCTGTGATCAATGGCACAGTCTAGCTGTGCCTCCCTTATGAGGAAAGGCTGAGAGACCTGGGGCTGTTCAGCCTGGGAAAGAGAAGGTTGAGAGGGGATCAACGTTTGCAAATATCTGAATCATAGGTGTCAAGTGTGTCAAGGTGTCGGATGATTTTCAGAGGTGATCAACATCAGGACAAGAGGCAATGAGTACAAACTGGAACACAGGAAGTTCCACACAAGCACGAGAAATAACTTCTTTACCTTGAGGGTGTCAGAGCCCTGGAGCAAGCTACCCAAAAAGACTGTGAAGTCTCCTTCTCTGGAGATATTCAAAATTCCCCTGGATGTTTTCCAGCACTATTTAATGTAGAGAACTTGTTTTAGCATAGGCTGGACTAGATGATCTCCAGAGGTCTCCCTTCCAGACTCCTTGTTCCTGTGACTGTACTGGAGATGTCCCTAAAAGCTACAGCTCCAGAAGACAGCTAGCTGGAGAGATGCGTCAATTTCTTTTATGGAACTGTTTATGCCTTCATAACAGCCTTGTTTTCACATGAATCACAATTTTTTTTGAACATGTCATCTACTGATTCAAATATAAATTCCTCTCAAGTGATTTATATGATTCTGTTCACTTCATGAAAAAGTCAATGTATGCAGATTCGAAAAATCTAAAACTGATGCTATATATCGACTTTGCCTGGTGTAAGTTTCATGCAAAAGTGTTCTATGCAGTGCACTAAGTAATTATTATTTTTAAGGCTATTTAAAGACTCAGTAATAAAAAAAAAAATATGGCTTGGCTGCAGAGACATCAAAACTTTGAAAATCAAAAGTCACACTGACCGCATCAGAAATTCCTTCACCAGCTGAATTTATTAATCTTTAAATCTTGAATCTGGATTCTATTGAATTCCAGAAAAGATGCTAGAGAACTCCTTTCCAAGTGTATCACAAGGAAAACAGCCAGCAAGGAATATTATCAAAGCTCCCTCAAACCAGAGGGAAAGCTAGCGGTACCTCTACAGAAATAACATCATTCAATATTTTCAGCTAGGACTCCTTTAAACCCATCTTGCATCCTCCTCCAGTTTGGAGAGATGGCATGCAAAAAGCAATGGTCAGCCCTCTCCCATGACGTGCTGGTGACTCACCTGAGCTGAAGCCAGCACTAAATCCCTGGGCAATAACAGGGCCATTATATCAATAGAAAAACAGGACGAGCAAGTGCAATTTTCTACAGAGCGCAGGCAACTCAGATCACAGAATTTTTCACAAGGCCATTCCTAATAGTATTAAATGTTTTCAAGAGCTATCACTCCCATAAAATATTTCTCTAGCAAACATACCTTAAGTTTTCTTGGCCCATGTCTGCTGAATCACTTCCTTTTTTGCCTGCTGTAAGCACCGTAATCACTTTATCCAGGCCTCTTTGATGACTTCCAAGTCGTTTGGCCTTTCTCTTCTTTTGGCTGCTCTCCACATGAGCTAGGTTGAGATCTAAATCCACAGAATGACACCTGTTACAAAACCAAATTAATTAGTTACTTTTCCTCAGCAATCAGACTGTAGTTATTTCATATGCACTGTTAGAATATGATCAGATCAGAATGAAGAAAACAAAAGGAAGTGTTGTGTATTATGAGAGTTTCTGCTTACATGTGAATTGAGCTTTAAGCTCAGAGATGCATTTTAAAACTGCAGCACTCGGGGAAAATGGAACAAGATGGGATTTATGTTATGGAAAACAGGAATGCATTCTGAAGATGAGTGACTTCTAGTTTTAATTTTTTTTTTTTTTTTTTTTTTTTTTTCTGCTTTCAGTGCTTCCCAGGGAATACAGCAAGAGGTTTTAGGAAAATTTTAACCAAGAGAAAGGAAATACAGCTTGCTGTTGCGAACAATATCTCCTAGGCTGTTCACTGATTAAGGTAGCACTGCTCTGAACCAAAAACATATATAGATAACTGTACACTTCCCTCCTCTCAGGAAGAATCTCCGTTGCTGTCAATTCATATGTATTTGTTGGTGTTTTGGGCTTCTTAACTGCAATGACTGTTGTGCACTGGCTCTCTGAAAGAAAGTATCCAAACCAAAGCAGGTATGTTTCTGCAGTAGAGGATTTACTTTTCTTCAGTCAGGATTTCTCACGATTAGCAATTTTTTATTTTTTTTTTTTAAAGCCAGCCTCCTATCTATCTCTAGTCTGCATCTTCAGAGTGATAAAATAGGTTTTTACTAGAACAACAAGACCACAACAGAAAACTGAGACTGATCCCCCCAGAGCTCTGTAATTCAAAAGTCTTTGAGGGGCTGGCGCAGTGCAGTACAGCAGGTTTGGAAGGGATGAGGACCAGAACTGGTTTCTTGTTCTGCTACTGGTCTCAGGACAAACACTGAGGAATTTACTATGTCAAAAGGTTGCATTCCACATCAAGCACATTTTCCTTTATGTGAAAGGTGCGAATTGCATCACCACGGTTAATACTACATGTTGAGTAACGGCCTAAAAAGTTCTATTGTCCACATGTTGGAAAAGAGCTCTGTAGAGCAGCTTTGAATTTGTGGAGACAACTCAATAAAGCTCGAAGATTCAGCTTTCCATAGCAGCAGTTGGCCCCAGACAGCGATGTTTTCTCAACACTTCCAAGAGATACTTCCACCGTTTATTGTTATATCTCTAAGTACTGCTTTAACCTATCCTGAATGTAAGAACTTCCAATAGAACAACAAAAGTATTTTAAATTTTTAACTCTCAGGAATATCTAACAAAAACGAGCTGAAATCACACTTCTGCACTTCTCATGTAAGAAATACCTACTTTTACTTTTTAAACTTACCGTAAGACCAACATCAGAAGTTACCACATGCAGTCTTAAGACAAAAATAAAACCTGTGTGAACAACCAGCCTTTGTAATGCACTTTGTTGAACACTTAACAAAGGAAAGTGGTATGTTCAGTAACTCTTAGTAACACATTAGCCTGCAGAGATCGAGCATTTCTGAACAATATTCCCCAGCACTTGGAACAGAAGAATCTTCAATTGTAAAAAATGCTTAGTACTTTAAAGGGCAGAGTGAACACGTGCAGTATCAGCACTAAGGATGAGGACAAACATCTTTGTAACTCAGAGGAGCTGCTATAGCATGGACACATTTCTGGTCCATCACGTAAATGCAAGTGTTAACATTGCTAGCCTAAGTATTTTCAATGCCACACCGAGTAGATATGTGAAAGTACAGGTTACATTTCATTTAGAAGCAAGATGCAATAAGAGCACAGTTAAGTAAAAGCATACCCTTCTCTTTCACTCAAAATAGCAGCCCAGAAAAAAAGCAAAAAAACATAACGAACGTTGAAGAAATTTTCTACTACATCTCCATGAGAAATGGAACCACGTGCTAGTTTTAGGAACACAGCAATTGTCTCATTATCTGAATGCATCTAAAGGCACGCTCCTTGTGAGAACTTCCGTCATTAATAGACGAGTAACCTGCCCTGACATATGGTTAAACCACTTGCAGTGCACTGTCTGCACTGTCAGATGTCATATGTGACTGCCTGTACCTGTCCATCTCACATTTGGATGACTTGTCTGGAAGGATGCCACGAAGGACAGGATCAAAGGCCTCCCTGAAATCTGGAGAGATTACATCCTCTGCCTTCATACACAAAGTGAGTGGCCTTAACATAGAACAAGATTTGATGACCAAGACTGGCTGCACACATCTCTCTTACAGATGTTGAGGCCACCAGGCTGTTTACCAGGCAGAGCTTTAGCACACAGAAGCATTTTTACCAGAATGTTGTGCTGAACTCTAACACCTACCCTCTGGCTTGCTGGCTGTGTTTTACTGGCACGTCGTTTGTGATGGAATTCTTAAGTGGATGCGCTTGCCACGAACCTTCCTGGATTGAATCAAGAGATAGGTTGTGACATCCGGTCATAATTCCACCTGAAAACAAGAGTATTTAGATCTCTTCAGAGAAGTTGTCAGTACAAAGAAAGCTTAGCGTTCTAAACGTTTCTGCATGTCTGGAATATTTTCCCCTTGATGTGCAACCTTCATGTCTGATCACATCAGGCTAGTTTCAGACCTTAGCTGCTCACACAACAAGTTTAAGATAAAGAAGCAGACTGCTCTTGTTTTTGCTTGAGAGCAGTACAATTGCTGAAAGTGAAGAGTAAAGCTGGTGCCAGAATGTCTCTACTGAAGTGAATGGCAAAGCTCCTGTTAATGCATTTTGCACAATATTTCATCTGGACTCCCATTTTTGGGGGTCATGTTTCAGCCCAGCCCCAAGGAGCATCAACATTCAACTTGATTTTCAGCAGCTTTTTGACGACTATGAGAACCATGGATGAATTGCTTGATAGACTCAGAGTGTAGTACAATTATAAGGCATTAAAAGTCCTTTAATAAAGGACAGTGAAAATATCACAGACTAACATGGAAGAACTTCTTCCCCTTGTAGGTAGATTGTTCTCATTATTTTCTGTACCTGAAAAAAAGTAGAAACGTCTCTCCTGGGTAAAACTTACATTTTATATCTATTCCTACTAAAGTTATATTAACATTAATAATAAACATATTAATTAATCTTAACAATCCTTCCAAATTCTACCACTTCCCATTTAATAGAAAGACAATTCAATTTCAAGAAACAATTTTCAGATTCAGGTTAAAGCCAGAGTACACATCGTGTTTTAAATCTCTTCTGCAGCTTGGAATGCCATTAGTGACATTTATACAATATCTCTAGAAGCACTCAGTTTAGCTTTCTCATTTATTTTCAAAAGTTACTGGAATGGATTCATTTCATAAGGATTTTAACATGGTAGAAAATAACAGAAAGGCTTAGAAAACAAAATTAAAGGAGAAAAATAGAATAAATGTGATCTTCAGAAATGTAGTTATTAGCCACAGATAGACTATACGGAGTTCAGCAGGGGTACCTTAGCTCTGAAAGGTATAAAATACTTTGTGTTTGAGAATAAGCAAGCATTAGAGTCTGTTAACACAGAAAGGTTATTTACTGTAGTAATGAGCTTAAATACAATGAGTTACATACATTTATTACCTCCGATATTAATGCCGATATACTCTGCTCTGGTTGTGAAACACAGGAAGTTCTGTAACACAGTCTTCATCAAGGTGCCCCAGCTGCAAGAACAAGACCTATACTGAAGGAACAGCTTCCAAGTCATCTCACAGAGCCAATATCACCACGATAGTCTTCTGATATGCAGCAATCGAGTCAATAGTTAGCCACCATTTCAGATTTTCTATTTTAAACAGTTAGTATCAGGGCTAAATACTGCAAGGAGTAAACAGAATCACAGAATTGTAGGGGTTGGAAGGGACCTCCAGAGCTCATCGAGTCCAACCCCCTGCCAAAGCAGGTTCCCTACAGCAGGTCGCACAGGTCGGCATCCAGGCAGGTCTTGAACATCTCCAGAGAAGGAGACTCCACCACCTCCCTGGGCAGCCTGTTCCAGTGCTCCGTCACCTCACTGTACAGAAGTTCCTTCGCACATTTTATGTGGAACTTCCTATGCTGCAATTTCTGGCCGTTTCCCCTTGTCCTGTCTCCACTCACCACTGAAAAGAGTCCGGCCTCGCAATTCTGCCCCCCACACCTCAGATACTGATAGAGCTGGATCAGGTCCCCTCTCAGTCTTCTTTTCTCGAGGCTGAACAGACCCAGTTCACTCAGCCTTTCCTCATAGCAGAGATGCTCCAGGCCCTTCACCATCTTCGTGGCCCTCTGCTGGACTCTTTCCAAGAGATCCCTGTCTTTTTTGTACTGGGGAGCCCAGAACTGGACACAGTACTCCAGATGAGGTCTTACCAGGGCAGAGTAGAGGGGGAGGATCACCTCCTTCGACCTGCTGGACACGCTCTTTTTAATGCACCCCAGTAAGCCATTGGCCTTTTTGGCCACAAGGGCACACTGCTGGCTCATGGCCGACCTGTCATCCACCAGGACACCCAGGTCCCTTTCCGCAGGGCTCCCCTCCAGCAGGTCATTCCCCAACCTGTACCGGTGCATGCAACTATTCCTCCCCAGATGCCAGACTCTACACTTGCTTTTGTTAAACCTCATCCGTTTTTTTTCTGCCCAGCTCTCCAGCCTGTCCAGGTCTCGCTGAATGGCAGCACGGCCTTCAGGCTGTCAGCCAATCCTCCCAACTTTGTATCATCAGCAAACTTGCTGAGGGTGGCCACCATCCCCTCATCAAGGTCACTGATGAAGATGTTGAACAAGACCGGACCCAGCACCGACCCCTGAGAAAGAGTCACCAAACTTCAGCAACTGGTCCCTCTGTGGCAACAGGTTTTGAATTCAAGTACAAAAGCCTGTCAGCAGATGAAATTTTCACGAGAGCAGAAGTTACACCTCTATCCCTCCTTAATTATTCAGTTGCATGGCATGCACAGCACACGGTGGTACCATCAGCACAGCTGAAGGGAAACAGTGGCACCCAGTGGCCAGCAGCAGCCATTGGCTGCAAATACACAGCAACTTCTCAGTATCTGCAGCAAGAATCTCCCTCACACACCCAGTTCCCAGCCCCACCCCATCCCCGCTACCCCAACCTCTCACACAGGTCAGACAGTTGAGAGATAAGGAGGACAAGCACAGTTCCAGAGACTCATAGAATGGCTTGAGATGGAAGGGACCTTAAAGACCATCAAGCTCCAAGTTGCAAAGTTGCAACTCACCAGATCAAACTGTCCGGGACCTCATTCAACCCAGCCTTGATTACCATCAGGGACAGACATCCCTACCTCCTGTTTTATCCACCGCACCTCTCAGCACGGGGCTGCCTGCAAACTTTCTGAAGGTGCTCTCTAGTTCCATTCTCTCTGTCACTGACAAAAGTATTGAGGGCGCCAAAATGGACCCCCGAGAGTCACCACTAGTCAGCAGCCTCTGAAGAAATGTATTATCACTCCTATTCTGTGAGGATGCCAGTGGTCCAGAAAAGATTCCAGAAAATACTTAGGCTTCTTCAAGTGTGCGTACTTACTGGGTATTTACTTTGCCGCTGAACAGCATCAGAATAACCTTGCATGAGCCAAGGGTGATTTAACAGGTGTTTAACTGTAATCTGCTTCTTTGGGCAGCAACATTCAAGCTGTTACTTATATCATCAAGAAGAACTGGAGACAGTTATTCTTTTCCTAAGAACTTCAAGGTGCCTAGAAGCACAGATAGAGACCAGCGGTATTTATTCACTTCACCAAAAGGAAGGTCAAACACCTGAGCTGTGAAGAACAGTTACTGTAACCATAGGTTCTCTAAATGTTCCAGCAGGATTTTGTATTTGAGACTGCGTAGATACAGCCCAAGGGCATACTTAGTACATTCAGCTTCCTTTATGAAACATCTTTTGTTTACAAATCGCTTTTAATTATACAGCACAATTAAAAACATCCAAATGCAAGCTGCTTGAAGACTGTTTAATTATTAAAACTGTAATTATTTCTATAACCATTAACTAGTACTACGTTATTATTTGAGAATTTTCAGCACAAGGCAATGCTAACCTTTTCTTCAAGGATATCAGGCGTGGAACAGTTTAACTTGTTTAAACACCGCATATTTTCTAAGCACTCCATCAATGTTTTGAGCTTATGCAACAGCATTTTGTACATCAATCTAAATAGAAGCAGCCCTTTTACCTGTAGCAGTTGGTCAAGTAGCAGCGTGCTGCTAGGTGAAAGCCATTTTGGAACAGTGTATTTTCCTCTCTGCAATAAAAAAGTTATTTTCTTAACTAAAATAAGAGAGGATTGAGAATGAACCTTGAACAACTAGCTCAAAAGGAACTATTAAATTATTTGGATGATATTGACATCTCTTTTCTTTCAAAGCACAGGAACAGAGATTACAAACTCTGCTTTAAGAATAGCTTGAATAAATTTAATGGTAAAAATTAACACGTAATTGGCTGAGGGCAATGCTGGAAGGGAAACTGCTCACAAGAGCTACAAAATGCCTAAGATCACACCAGAAATACTTTGTTCTAACAACAGTTATGGCACATAGTCAATTTCCTTAAGTACTTCCCAAATGAAGTGATGTGGAGCAGAACTGGACAACTTTGCAACTTGCAACCCTAAAGCAACTTTGTCCATGACGGGCCGAAAGCGAGCGAGGCAGCCGGCAGCTGCACAGAGCACAGCCCGGCCGACAGCTCGCGTTTGAACTTCTCTGTCGGAACTCTCACTTCCGGTCAGGGGAGAGGATGGACCAATCACCGCAGTGCCGAAACCGGAACGGCTGTTGTCGCGCAGTGCATGACGGGAGGAAGGTAGGAACGGGATGTGGTGGCACGCCATGTTGGGTGGGTTTCCGGCTCCACTGCAGCGCCGATGGGAGATGGAAGGCGGTGGTGAAAGATTGGCTGACAGATTCATCATTAACGAGCGTTATGCGGCAGTCTAGGCCTCCTTGGACTGCATAAATTCAGTTTCACCCCGATGAATTGTATACTGTCACATACGTCACAACCGTCGGAGCGCGGTTCCGGTATGCGGCGGAGGCCGGGTCGCCCTGGAAAGGAAGTTGCGGAGCTGGGAGTAGCGCTCCGTGTGTCTGCGCTGAGGCGGCGGGGCTCATCGGGAGGAGCGGCCCTTCCTCGGGCCGCCTGCAGAAAGGCCGGGCTGCGCTGTGCCGGAGTGGCGCGCGGGGTGGGATCGAAGCTGAGACGGCCCCGCTAAGGTACAGAGCGCTGCTGGGCCGCTTAGCCCTATGGGGAGAGGTTCCCGCTGCTTCCTAACGAGGTTCAACAAGGCCGAGTGCCGGGTCCTGCACGTTGGCCACGATAACCCCCATGCAGCGTTACAGGCTTGGGGGTTGACTGGTTGACTGTTAAGAGGAAATGGACCTGGGGGTGCTTGGCTGAACACGAGCCAGCAGCGTGCCCTGGGCCAGCGGCCTCCTGGCCTGCATTAGAAATAGTGTGGCCAGCAGGAGCAGGGAGGTGATCATCCCCCTGTAGTCAGCTGTGGTGAGGCCGCACCTCGAGTGTTGTGTTTGGTTTTAGGCCCCTCACTGCAAGAAAGACATTGAGGCCCTGGAGTGTGTCCAGAGAAGGGCAACGAAACTGGTGAGGGGTCTGGAGTACGAGTCTTGTGAACAGTGGCTGAAGGAGCTGGGATTGTTCAGTCTGGAGAAGAGGAGGCTCAGGGGAGACCTCACTGCACTGTACAACTTCCTGAAGCTCCTTGTGATGAGGAGGGGTTTGGCCTCTTCTCCCAGGCAACAAACAGGACTCGAGGAGATGGCCCCAAGTTGTACCAGAAGAGGTTTAGGTTAGACATAAGGAAGAACTTTTTCTCTCAGAAAGAGAAACAGAATTAGGATAGGCTAACGGCTGCCCAGAGTGGTGGCGGGGCCACTGTCCCTGGCAGTGTTCAAGAGGCGTCTGGATGAGGAGCTGCGAGATCTGGTTTAGTGCTTGTGGTAGCAGTGGTGATGGGAGGGCGGTTGGAACCAGATGATCTTGCAGGTGGTTTTCAACCTTGTGATTCTATGATTCTAAAGCTGTAGTCCAACTCTGCTGCTGCTCTGTGGCACGAAGCTCTGAGCAGTGTTCTGTACTGTTATCATAAGAGAAGTCCGAGCCATGCAGTGTGATTTGTTACTGCTAGGTGAGACAGGATGCGCTTTGGTGAGGAGATGGGCAGTGCTGGAGCTGCCCCTTCTGCTTCTAAAAGTGTGTCCTACGTAGGATGTAAACCCTGCTGGCTCTTCCTCACTGCAGGTGCTTGGAGGATCTCAAGGTCTTGTGGAACTCAGGATGTCTGTCATTGACTACCCGGAAATTCCCAAGTACTGTGAATTACATGAAACAATTGGAACGGGTAAGCGTGATCTTTGTACAAAACCAACGTGCCTCGCAGTCTGACTCACCACTCTCTTTATCTGAGAATAGACTAACTGCTCTTATAAGATCCCTACATCAGGTTTCTCGTATATAAACTTGAAACTGAATTTTGAAACCGGTTGGGAATTGATTATGCTGATCACCTCTTCCTCTAATTAAAACATTACACACAGTGTATGCTAGGTACTCTGCTTTCCCTATAACATTATATTAGAGAAGAATTCACACTCAACTTTAAGCATTTTTGTTTTGAATGTTAGGTGGTTTTGCAGAGGTGAGACTCGGGCAGCATCTTCTTACTGTTGAAAAAGTTGCAACAAAAATCATGGACAAAGTTGCTTTAGGGGCAAGCCAAAAGATCTTTAAATATGATAACACCTTCTGTTGGAGTTGTGGAGTTCTCAAGAGCACAGGGAGGTGGTATATAGAAATGCAGCATACTAGTGCCATTGCCTTTTGAAGGATGCTGTAGGGTTGGAAAAAGTTCAGCAGAACACCACAAATCTTGTTCCTCGTTGTTCAGAGGGCAATGCTCTCTGGCTGTAAAATGGAGGAAGTTCAACATTATTACAGCAACTTCAACAAAATGCTAATGAAAATACTGGATATTTTACATTTCAGCTTTCGCTGATCCGTGTTTTAGAATTCCTATGGGAGTAATGTCAGCCATTGCTGAGTTGATGCTGAATTGTGTGCTGTCACATACGTGGTTTGACATCTTATGTTATGCAGTAGTCAGATGTGGTACCTGGTATGCCAAATTAGTTAGCAATTTCATAGCTTGCTTTTATGGTCTCTTAAGGGTGACTTGCCTCGTGTTAAAACAGAAATTGATGCCATGAAGAACTTAAGTCATCAAGATGTTTGCCAATTGTATCATGTAATAGAGACATCAAAGAAAACATTCATGGTCTTGGAGGTAAGAAATAGTGTTTCCACCACGCTTAAGGCTATTGTTTTTATCTTTAGCAGTAGACAATAATATAAAAATGAAGCTGAAATGAAATGATTCTTAAATATTTCAATGGTGAGTGGGTTCAAGATTCATTGGTTTTAAAATTAAGAATAAAATGTTATATATTCTGTCTTTTTGTAAAAGGCACTAATCAGCATTCACAGTAAGTGAACTGGTTTTAATTCCTAACTTACACTTCAGTTTTTTAAGGTAGCATAAGCTGTAGATCATCTTGTACATGTATCACCTGTCTTATGCAAGGGCCTGTCATAGGAGCACTGGGCTGGCATGTCATTATCTCTTCGAAGGAACTGTATGTAGATTGAGGTTATGGATAAAACTAAATGAGTTTTGCAGGTGACGTACAGATCCTGTGGTTGCATATGCTTGAACTGAATTGTTTCTAGATCTTGAAACTGCTTTCTAGGAGCCTTTACTTAACATGCCAGATGGGTGCTGGTAAGAAAGAATTCAATGGGAAGGCTGCCTTCCTGATTCAAAGAGAATTACTTATCCTCAAATCGCTTTTCCTGGCCAAATTTAGAGCCTCTCGCAGGTAAGACCAACAGGCTGTTGTCCCAGTGGTATAATTTTGGTGTATTGGTATATCTTGCTCTGACCTGTTTAGAACAAAACCCAAGTGGAGTAATAGGATACTCTGAATAAGGAAGTATTATATCAGTTGTTCTTTGTAAAGTTTGTAAAGTTATTGCATGAAATTGTTCTAAATGATCATCGAGCCTCAAACACAACAGCTCTTGCATGACTTCTTTCTCAGTTTGGTGTTTGCGCAGACAGTTCATTTTAGTAGATGATCAGCTAAGGAAAATAATGCATCATGCCAAGGATACATAAGGTAAGTGAGCAGCTTGGGATCTTTACAGTGCTTATGGTCTTAGACAATATTTGCTTAGTGAGGTCACCTATTGAATGAAAGCCAAATGTATAATGAATGAAAGTATGCCCAGGAGAAGAAGCCTCTGAGGCTTCTGAAGTGTCATTACAGAAAGTATGAACTCTGTTAAAGCAAACTCTTCTGTTTTCTGTGCTATTCCAGGGAGGCCTTGATTACAACCTGAACACGTGCCGTGGAAGCCCAGCATGTGCAGCACCAGAGCTAATCCAGGGTAAAGCCTATATTGGCTCAGAGGTATGCAGACCAGAGTTTGTTTGTTTTACACCTCTCCCCTCTTTCCCTCCCCAGAGAGCGTTTAAAGGCAGTGGAGCTCAGATACGCTCACTTGGTTCCCCTCCTGACTTCTGCTGGGTTGCGTTGCTTAGTAGCTCTCAGAAGCTGTCAGTGGCCACAGACTGAAAAGTGCAATGGGCCGCAGTTCACACGGCTGGCTGGTTTGTCTCTGGCTGATCCTCATCTGTCTCCACCAATTGTTCCCTACTTTGGGGCTCTATGAAACAGCAACTTCGGAGATCTCCTTCTATTAGTCAGTTTTTGAAAGAGCAATTTGCTCTGTTAATTGTCCATCATTTGTCAAACTTTTGTGCGGTCTCAGGATCTTACATGTTTTGTTAGACTTGTCTTTAGCTTCCAAGTTGTGTGTGAAGACTTGCTTCCATTGTAATGCACAATGTACTAAAAATTGAGAGACGAAAACGTGAAGAGTTTTTCCAGCTTTGATTTCATGTCTAGAACTTTGGAACCCACTACTTGCAGTTGTTAATCTGTCCAAACTGGTCTGGTTTGAAATGCCCTCATACTTCTTGAATTGCTCTGCTGTTAAAGATGGAGCAATTCTTTCAGGTACCATTGCACCGCTGTTGATGGCTTCTAATTCTTGCTTTATTTGTTTTCCACAGACTGCTTCTCAAGCCTCCTTTTTCTTTACAGTCAAAGTGAGAATGGCATTGTGAGGTGTACGAACCTTGTTGTGCCTGTACACAAAGAGAACAGCAGCAGAGCCTCAGAGCTGACTGCTGACAGCTCTCGTTGTAGCCAGTAACATGTAACTGTGCCAAATCCTTTGTGATGGGTTTGATTTCGTTTTTGCCAGTGAAATCCTTGTAGGTATAAGGTACTGCAGAAGGGTGATGAGCTAAGATGAAGATATTGGTTTTAGTAGTGCTTTAAGTTGAGTGGAAGAACAATTGAATTAGGGTCATATGGTTCCAGAGAAAGCATAAGGTTTTTTTCGTGAGGGAAAGAGCCAGCTTTTCGTAGGCTGTGTGTGGCCTTTGGCAAGGGCAGGCAATACAATCTGTCAGTAAGGCATTTTAGGTGCTTCAGGTTTGTAAACTTGTCCTTTTATTTTTTTAGGCAGATTTTTGGAGCATGGGAGTACTGCGGTACGCTCTGTTGTGTGGGTTTCTTCCTTTGGATGATGACAATGTGATGGCACTCTACAGGAGGACAACAGGAGGTATCGATGGTGCTAGAATACACTGAGAAGGGAAATAGCTGAGCATGACAAGAGGCCTTGCTTTTCTGATGACAGAACATGCTGAGCTGTACTGTGTGTGGAAAGGCCTGTCTGCTGACTATTGTCCCCTTTTTTTTTTTTTTGCTGCTTTGTCTACCAGTATTTTGTGGATTTGGTTCTACACTTGGTTGGCCTATGTAGCCTGATTATATAATGTGATAGCATGGAGAGTTTAAGGAGAAGTATTTACTTCCCAATGGGCTAATTTTTGTATCTGGTTCTTCAACTGGCTGCTCCCTATTACTACCTGTAGTAAAGATACAAATACATCGTTTGATTTACCAGAAATTAATGTTATTGAATGCCAATTCTTCTCATGTCTAGGAAGAGCAAAGTTCTGCATCTACTATCAGAATTTCCTCTTCAGAATCAGGAGGAAATGTAGGGACCCCACTGATTGCCTTCGAATTCAGCAGTTCGTTCTGTTTCCTTTCAAGCGCATAACATCCTGAGAGTGTTAATCAAGAGACATGGCTTTTTAGTCTGGTGTGAACTATGTTGTGAATTGAGCCTTTGTCCCTTTGTAATTAGGACTTTGTCCATTTCTGCAGGACTGCAGAAAATCCTTTGTGCTAATCAACACTCCAATTTGCAGAACGTGGCAAATGGAAAATGATCCAACTGCTTCAGGTGTACATTTCCTTAAAATTGTGAATAGTTTTGGACTGAGAGTTTGTTAGCAGAATGGAGCTCTTGAAGCTGTCCAAGATTGTTTCTGCACCACTTAGTTCTATCTGTCTGATGCACACTGGAGCTCAGGGCTGCATTGCTTGAACTGGTGGAACTTGTTTAAGTGAACTGGGACGAGCAAGTTTCAGAACTGAGTCAGAATGCAGTAAAAAATGGATGATCTCACAAGTATTAAGATACTGGCTTGCTATTTCTGCACTGAATTTGTTTTAATTGTATGTGGCTGTGATCTGAGAAGTGCTTGAAATGCAGACACAGAGGCATTGTTGTGTAATTGACTTTCGCACGTTACAGATCCTGAAATATCCTGGAATCTAAAACTCAGAATTGGTTTAAGTCTACTGCTTGACTCTAATCAGGATCATAGCATCTGTGTTCAGTGTTCTTTTTCCTGTAATGCTCCACATCACTTCATTTGGGAAGTACTTAAGGAAATTGACTATGTGCCATAACTGTTGTTAGAACAAAGTATTTCTGGTGTGATCTTAGGCATTTTGTAGCTCTTGTGAGCAGTTTTCCTTCCAGCATTGCCCTCAGCCAATTACGTGTTAATTTTTACCATTAAATTTATTCAAGCTATTCTTAAAGCAGAGTTTGTAATCTCTGTTCCTGTGCTTTGAAAGAAAAGAGATGTCAATATCATCCAAATAATTTAATAGTTCCTTTTGAGCTAGTTGTTCAAGGTTCATTCTCAATCCTCTCTTATTTTAGTTAAGAAAATAACTTTTTTATTGCAGAGAGGAAAATACACTGTTCCAAAATGGCTTTCACCTAGCAGCACGCTGCTACTTGACCAACTGCTACAGGTAAAAGGGCTGCTTCTATTTAGATTGATGTACAAAATGCTGTTGCATAAGCTCAAAACATTGATGGAGTGCTTAGAAAATATGCGGTGTTTAAACAAGTTAAACTGTTCCACGCCTGATATCCTTGAAGAAAAGGTTAGCATTGCCTTGTGCTGAAAATTCTCAAATAATAACGTAGTACTAGTTAATGGTTATAGAAATAATTACAGTTTTAATAATTAAACAGTCTTCAAGCAGCTTGCATTTGGATGTTTTTAATTGTGCTGTATAATTAAAAGCGATTTGTAAACAAAAGATGTTTCATAAAGGAAGCTGAATGTACTAAGTATGCCCTTGGGCTGTATCTACGCAGTCTCAAATACAAAATCCTGCTGGAACATTTAGAGAACCTATGGTTACAGTAACTGTTCTTCACAGCTCAGGTGTTTGACCTTCCTTTTGGTGAAGTGAATAAATACCGCTGGTCTCTATCTGTGCTTCTAGGCACCTTGAAGTTCTTAGGAAAAGAATAACTGTCTCCAGTTCTTCTTGATGATATAAGTAACAGCTTGAATGTTGCTGCCCAAAGAAGCAGATTACAGTTAAACACCTGTTAAATCACCCTTGGCTCATGCAAGGTTATTCTGATGCTGTTCAGCGGCAAAGTAAATACCCAGTAAGTACGCACACTTGAAGAAGCCTAAGTATTTTCTGGAATCTTTTCTGGACCACTGGCATCCTCACAGAATAGGAGTGATAATACATTTCTTCAGAAGCTGCTGACTAGTGGTGACTCTCGGGGGTCCATTTTGGCGCCCTCAATACTTTTGTCAGTGACAGAGAGAATGGAACTAGAGAGCACCTTCAGAAAGTTTGCAGGCAGCCCCGTGCTGAGAGGTGCGGTGGATAAAACAGGAGGTAGGGATGTCTGTCCCTGATGGTAATCAAGGCTGGGTTGAATGAGGTCCCGGACAGTTTGATCTGGTGAGTTGCAACTTTGCAACTTGGAGCTTGATGGTCTTTAAGGTCCCTTCCATCTCAAGCCATTCTATGAGTCTCTGGAACTGTGCTTGTCCTCCTTATCTCTCAACTGTCTGACCTGTGTGAGAGGTTGGGGTAGCGGGGATGGGGTGGGGCTGGGAACTGGGTGTGTGAGGGAGATTCTTGCTGCAGATACTGAGAAGTTGCTGTGTATTTGCAGCCAATGGCTGCTGCTGGCCACTGGGTGCCACTGTTTCCCTTCAGCTGTGCTGATGGTACCACCGTGTGCTGTGCATGCCATGCAACTGAATAATTAAGGAGGGATAGAGGTGTAACTTCTGCTCTCGTGAAAATTTCATCTGCTGACAGGCTTTTGTACTTGAATTCAAAACCTGTTGCCACAGAGGGACCAGTTGCTGAAGTTTGGTGACTCTTTCTCAGGGGTCGGTGCTGGGTCCGGTCTTGTTCAACATCTTCATCAGTGACCTTGATGAGGGGATGGTGGCCACCCTCAGCAAGTTTGCTGATGATACAAAGTTGGGAGGATTGGCTGACAGCCTGAAGGCCGTGCTGCCATTCAGCGAGACCTGGACAGGCTGGAGAGCTGGGCAGAAAAAAAACGGATGAGGTTTAACAAAAGCAAGTGTAGAGTCTGGCATCTGGGGAGGAATAGTTGCATGCACCGGTACAGGTTGGGGGATGAGCTGCTGGAGGGGAGCCCTGCGGAAAGGGACCTGGGTGTCCTGGTGGATGACAGGTCGGCCATGAGCCAGCAGTGTGCCCTTGTGGCCAAAAAGGCCAATGGCTTACTGGGGTGCATTAAAAGAGCGTGTCCAGCAGGTCGAAGGAGGTGATCCTCCCCCTCTACTCTGCCCTGGTAAGACCTCATCTGGAGTACTGTGTCCAGTTCTGGGCTCCCCAGTACAAAAAAGACAGGGATCTCTTGGAAAGAGTCCAGCAGAGGGCCACGAAGATGGTGAAGGGCCTGGAGCATCTCTGCTATGAGGAAAGGCTGAGTGAACTGGGTCTGTTCAGCCTCGAGAAAAGAAGACTGAGAGGGGACCTGATCCAGCTCTATCAGTATCTGAGGTGTGGGGGGCAGAATTGCGAGGCCGGACTCTTTTCAGTGGTGAGTGGAGACAGGACAAGGGGAAACGGCCAGAAATTGCAGCATAGGAAGTTCCACATAAAATGTGCGAAGGAACTTCTGTACAGTGAGGTGACGGAGCACTGGAACAGGCTGCCCAGGGAGGTGGTGGAGTCTCCTTCTCTGGAGATGTTCAAGACCTGCCTGGATGCCGACCTGTGCGACCTGCTGTAGGGAACCTGCTTTGGCAGGGGGTTGGACTCGATGAGCTCTGGAGGTCCCTTCCAACCCCTACAATTCTGTGATTCTGTTTACTCCTTGCAGTATTTAGCCCTGATACTAACTGTTTAAAATAGAAAATCTGAAATGGTGGCTAACTATTGACTCGATTGCTGCATATCAGAAGACTATCGTGGTGATATTGGCTCTGTGAGATGACTTGGAAGCTGTTCCTTCAGTATAGGTCTTGTTCTTGCAGCTGGGGCACCTTGATGAAGACTGTGTTACAGAACTTCCTGTGTTTCACAACCAGAGCAGAGTATATCGGCATTAATATCGGAGGTAATAAATGTATGTAACTCATTGTATTTAAGCTCATTACTACAGTAAATAACCTTTCTGTGTTAACAGACTCTAATGCTTGCTTATTCTCAAACACAAAGTATTTTATACCTTTCAGAGCTAAGGTACCCCTGCTGAACTCCGTATAGTCTATCTGTGGCTAATAACTACATTTCTGAAGATCACATTTATTCTATTTTTCTCCTTTAATTTTGTTTTCTAAGCCTTTCTGTTATTTTCTACCATGTTAAAATCCTTATGAAATGAATCCATTCCAGTAACTTTTGAAAATAAATGAGAAAGCTAAACTGAGTGCTTCTAGAGATATTGTATAAATGTCACTAATGGCATTCCAAGCTGCAGAAGAGATTTAAAACACGATGTGTACTCTGGCTTTAACCTGAATCTGAAAATTGTTTCTTGAAATTGAATTGTCTTTCTATTAAATGGGAAGTGGTAGAATTTGGAAGGATTGTTAAGATTAATTAATATGTTTATTATTAATGTTAATATAACTTTAGTAGGAATAGATATAAAATGTAAGTTTTACCCAGGAGAGACGTTTCTACTTTTTTTCAGGTACAGAAAATAATGAGAACAATCTACCTACAAGGGGAAGAAGTTCTTCCATGTTAGTCTGTGATATTTTCACTGTCCTTTATTAAAGGACTTTTAATGCCTTATAATTGTACTACACTCTGAGTCTATCAAGCAATTCATCCATGGTTCTCATAGTCGTCAAAAAGCTGCTGAAAATCAAGTTGAATGTTGATGCTCCTTGGGGCTGGGCTGAAACATGACCCCCAAAAATGGGAGTCCAGATGAAATATTGTGCAAAATGCATTAACAGGAGCTTTGCCATTCACTTCAGTAGAGACATTCTGGCACCAGCTTTACTCTTCACTTTCAGCAATTGTACTGCTCTCAAGCAAAAACAAGAGCAGTCTGCTTCTTTATCTTAAACTTGTTGTGTGAGCAGCTAAGGTCTGAAACTAGCCTGATGTGATCAGACATGAAGGTTGCACATCAAGGGGAAAATATTCCAGACATGCAGAAACGTTTAGAACGCTAAGCTTTCTTTGTACTGACAACTTCTCTGAAGAGATCTAAATACTCTTGTTTTCAGGTGGAATTATGACCGGATGTCACAACCTATCTCTTGATTCAATCCAGGAAGGTTCGTGGCAAGCGCATCCACTTAAGAATTCCATCACAAACGACGTGCCAGTAAAACACAGCCAGCAAGCCAGAGGGTAGGTGTTAGAGTTCAGCACAACATTCTGGTAAAAATGCTTCTGTGTGCTAAAGCTCTGCCTGGTAAACAGCCTGGTGGCCTCAACATCTGTAAGAGAGATGTGTGCAGCCAGTCTTGGTCATCAAATCTCGTTCTATGTTAAGGCCACTCACTTTGTGTATGAAGGCAGAGGATGTAATCTCTCCAGATTTCAGGGAGGCCTTTGATCCTGTCCTTCGTGGCATCCTTCCAGACAAGTCATCCAAATGTGAGATGGACAGGTACAGGCAGTCACATATGACATCTGACAGTGCAGACAGTGCACTGCAAGTGGTTTAACCATATGTCAGGGCAGGTTACTCGTCTATTAATGACGGAAGTTCTCACAAGGAGCGTGCCTTTAGATGCATTCAGATAATGAGACAATTGCTGTGTTCCTAAAACTAGCACGTGGTTCCATTTCTCATGGAGATGTAGTAGAAAATTTCTTCAACGTTCGTTATGTTTTTTTGCTTTTTTTCTGGGCTGCTATTTTGAGTGAAAGAGAAGGGTATGCTTTTACTTAACTGTGCTCTTATTGCATCTTGCTTCTAAATGAAATGTAACCTGTACTTTCACATATCTACTCAGTGTGGCATTGAAAATACTTAGGCTAGCAATGTTAACACTTGCATTTACGTGATGGACCAGAAATGTGTCCATGCTATAGCAGCTCCTCTGAGTTACAAAGATGTTTGTCCTCATCCTTAGTGCTGATACTGCACGTGTTCACTCTGCCCTTTAAAGTACTAAGCATTTTTTACAATTGAAGATTCTTCTGTTCCAAGTGCTGGGGAATATTGTTCAGAAATGCTCGATCTCTGCAGGCTAATGTGTTACTAAGAGTTACTGAACATACCACTTTCCTTTGTTAAGTGTTCAACAAAGTGCATTACAAAGGCTGGTTGTTCACACAGGTTTTATTTTTGTCTTAAGACTGCATGTGGTAACTTCTGATGTTGGTCTTACGGTAAGTTTAAAAAGTAAAAGTAGGTATTTCTTACATGAGAAGTGCAGAAGTGTGATTTCAGCTCGTTTTTGTTAGATATTCCTGAGAGTTAAAAATTTAAAATACTTTTGTTGTTCTATTGGAAGTTCTTACATTCAGGATAGGTTAAAGCAGTACTTAGAGATATAACAATAAACGGTGGAAGTATCTCTTGGAAGTGTTGAGAAAACATCGCTGTCTGGGGCCAACTGCTGCTATGGAAAGCTGAATCTTCGAGCTTTATTGAGTTGTCTCCACAAATTCAAAGCTGCTCTACAGAGCTCTTTTCCAACATGTGGACAATAGAACTTTTTAGGCCGTTACTCAACATGTAGTATTAACCGTGGTGATGCAATTCGCACCTTTCACATAAAGGAAAATGTGCTTGATGTGGAATGCAACCTTTTGACATAGTAAATTCCTCAGTGTTTGTCCTGAGACCAGTAGCAGAACAAGAAACCAGTTCTGGTCCTCATCCCTTCCAAACCTGCTGTACTGCACTGCGCCAGCCCCTCAAAGACTTTTGAATTACAGAGCTCTGGGGGGATCAGTCTCAGTTTTCTGTTGTGGTCTTGTTGTTCTAGTAAAAACCTATTTTATCACTCTGAAGATGCAGACTAGAGATAGATAGGAGGCTGGCTTTAAAAAAAAAAAATAAAAAATTGCTAATCGTGAGAAATCCTGACTGAAGAAAAGTAAATCCTCTACTGCAGAAACATACCTGCTTTGGTTTGGATACTTTCTTTCAGAGAGCCAGTGCACAACAGTCATTGCAGTTAAGAAGCCCAAAACACCAACAAATACATATGAATTGACAGCAACGGAGATTCTTCCTGAGAGGAGGGAAGTGTACAGTTATCTATATATGTTTTTGGTTCAGAGCAGTGCTACCTTAATCAGTGAACAGCCTAGGAGATATTGTTCGCAACAGCAAGCTGTATTTCCTTTCTCTTGGTTAAAATTTTCCTAAAACCTCTTGCTGTATTCCCTGGGAAGCACTGAAAGCAGAAAAAAAAAAAAAAAAAATAAAATAAATTAAAACTAGAAGTCACTCATCTTCAGAATGCATTCCTGTTTTCCATAACATAAATCCCATCTTGTTCCATTTTCCCCGAGTGCTGCAGTTTTAAAATGCATCTCTGAGCTTAAAGCTCAATTCACATGTAAGCAGAAACTCTCATAATACACAACACTTCCTTTTGTTTTCTTCATTCTGATCTGATCATATTCTAACAGTGCATATGAAATAACTACAGTCTGATTGCTGAGGAAAAGTAACTAATTAATTTGGTTTTGTAACAGGTGTCATTCTGTGGATTTAGATCTCAACCTAGCTCATGTGGAGAGCAGCCAAAAGAAGAGAAAGGCCAAACGACTTGGAAGTCATCAAAGAGGCCTGGATAAAGTGATTACGGTGCTTACAGCAGGCAAAAAAGGAAGTGATTCAGCAGACATGGGCCAAGAAAACTTAAGGTATGTTTGCTAGAGAAATATTTTATGGGAGTGATAGCTCTTGAAAACATTTAATACTATTAGGAATGGCCTTGTGAAAAATTCTGTGATCTGAGTTGCCTGCGCTCTGTAGAAAATTGCACTTGCTCGTCCTGTTTTTCTATTGATATAATGGCCCTGTTATTGCCCAGGGATTTAGTGCTGGCTTCAGCTCAGGTGAGTCACCAGCACGTCATGGGAGAGGGCTGACCATTGCTTTTTGCATGCCATCTCTCCAAACTGGAGGAGGATGCAAGATGGGTTTAAAGGAGTCCTAGCTGAAAATATTGAATGATGTTATTTCTGTAGAGGTACCGCTAGCTTTCCCTCTGGTTTGAGGGAGCTTTGATAATATTCCTTGCTGGCTGTTTTCCTTGTGATACACTTGGAAAGGAGTTCTCTAGCATCTTTTCTGGAATTCAATAGAATCCAGATTCAAGATTTAAAGATTAATAAATTCAGCTGGTGAAGGAATTTCTGATGCGGTCAGTGTGACTTTTGATTTTCAAAGTTTTGATGTCTCTGCAGCCAAGCCATATTTTTTTTTTTATTACTGAGTCTTTAAATAGCCTTAAAAATAATAATTACTTAGTGCACTGCATAGAACACTTTTGCATGAAACTTACACCAGGCAAAGTCGATATATAGCATCAGTTTTAGATTTTTCGAATCTGCATACATTGACTTTTTCATGAAGTGAACAGAATCATATAAATCACTTGAGAGGAATTTATATTTGAATCAGTAGATGACATGTTCAAAAAAAATTGTGATTCATGTGAAAACAAGGCTGTTATGAAGGCATAAACAGTTCCATAAAAGAAATTGACGCATCTCTCCAGCTAGCTGTCTTCTGGAGCTGTAGCTTTTAGGGACATCTCCAGTACAGTCACAGGAACAAGGAGTCTGGAAGGGAGACCTCTGGAGATCATCTAGTCCAGCCTATGCTAAAACAAGTTCTCTACATTAAATAGTGCTGGAAAACATCCAGGGGAATTTTGAATATCTCCAGAGAAGGAGACTTCACAGTCTTTTTGGGTAGCTTGCTCCAGGGCTCTGACACCCTCAAGGTAAAGAAGTTATTTCTCGTGCTTGTGTGGAACTTCCTGTGTTCCAGTTTGTACTCATTGCCTCTTGTCCTGATGTTGATCACCTCTGAAAATCATCCGACACCTTGACACACTTGACACCTATGATTCAGATATTTGCAAACGTTGATCCCCTCTCAACCTTCTCTTTCCCAGGCTGAACAGCCCCAGGTCTCTCAGCCTTTCCTCATAAGGGAGGCACAGCTAGACTGTGCCATTGATCACAGCCCTGGCTTATCAGCCAGTTCTCAATCCACCTCACTCTCTAGTATTTATCCCACACTTTCTAAGCTTACCTATGAGGATGTTATGGGAGACAATGTCAATTCAGTGTCTTGCTGAATTCAAAGTACACAGCAGCCGCTGCTCTTTCCTCATCTACCCAGCTGGTCATGACATCATAAAATCCTTAGAGTTGGAAATGGACCTCTGAATGCCATCTAGTCCAAGTCCCGTGCAATGAACGGCGACATGCACAGCTAGATCAGGTTGGCCACGGCCTGATCCAACCTCTCCTTGAGAGTCTTCAGGGATGGGACATCCACCGCATTATGAGACAGCCTGTTCCAGTGCCTCACCACAGAAGAGTTCTTCCTTATGTAAATCTACCCTCTTTGAGCTTGAAACCATTTCCCCTTATTCTGTCAGACCCAGCTGAAGATTCCGTCCCCTTTTTTGTCCACTGAACAGTCCACCCATCAAATCCATACCTTTCCAATTTGGAGAGAAGTATGTTGTGGGATACCATATCAGAGGCCTTACTGAAATTGAGATAGGTGATATCAGTGGCTCTTCCCTTGTCCATTGACTTGTCCACTATGTGACGCCATCGTGGAAGGTCAAGCAGGATTTGCCGTTGGTGAAGTCATCTGATTCTCCTGTATCACCTCTTTGCCTTCTATCTGCCTTAGAATGGAATCACAGAATGTCAGGGGTTGGAAAGGACCTCTAAAGATTCATCTATTCCAGCCCCCCCTGCCGGAGCAGGAAGCTCCGGTCACTCAGGAACACTTCCAGGTGGATTTTGAATGTCTCCAGAGAAGAAGACCCAACAACCTCTCTGAGCAGCCCATTCCAGTGTTCTGTTACGCTCACCTAAATAATTTTTTTCTCATATTTATGTGGAACCTCCTGTGTTCCAGCCTGCGCCCACTGCCCTTTGTCCTATCACTGGGTGTCACTGAGAAGAGCCTGGCTCCATTCTCCCTGACACTCACCCTTTACGTACTTATAAACATTAATGAAGTCACCCCTCAGTCTTCTTCAAGCTAAAGAGACCCAGCTCCCTCATTCTTTCCTTGTAAGGGAGATGTTGCGCTCCTTCCACCATCTTTGTGTCTCTGTCCTGCACTCTCTCAAGCAGTTCCCTGTCCTTCTTGATCGAAGGGGCCCAGAGCTGGACGTAATATTCCAGATGCGGTCTCACCAGGGCAGAGTGGTGAGAGAGGAGAGCCTCTCTCGCCTACTGACCACAGCCCTTCTATTACACCCCAGGATGCCTTTTGCCTTCTTGTCCACAAGGGCACAGTGCTGGCCCATGGTCATCCTGCTGTCCATCAGGACTCCAGGTCCCTTTCCCCTGCTCTCCTCTCCAACAGGTCTGTCCCAGCCTACACTGCTACCTGGGGTTGTTGTTGTCCAGATGCAGGACTCTACACTCGCCCATGTTACATCGCATTGAATTCCTCCCTGCCCAACTCTCCAGCCTGTCTAGATCAAGCTTCCAGGAGGATCTGTTGCATGATTTTTCCCGACGCAGAGGTGAGACTGACAGGTCGGTAGTTCTCCGGGTCATCCTTTTTACCCTCTTTAAAGATGGGCATGATGTTACCTTTTTTCCAGTCTCCAGGGACTTTACCTGATTGCCACAACTTATATCATCGAGAGTGGCTTGAAGATTATATCAGCCAATGCCATTAGGAGTGGGATGCATCTCATTAGACTTGTGGATGTGTGAAATAAACAGGGTGGATAAATAAATGTGGATGTATAAAATAAAATGGTACCAGATCAGTCAAACATGATTTCCCATCGGTGAGCCCATGTTGACCAGTTCTGATAACCCCTTTTTCTTCCACTGCTTGGAGATGACATCTAGAATAAACTGCTCCATCATCTTCCCAGTGACAGAAGTGAGGCTTCCTGGCCCATGGTTTCTTGGCTCTTCTTCTTGCCCTTTTTGAAGAGTGAACTGACATGACTATCCTCCAGTCCTCAGGCACCTATCCTGTTCTCTCTGGCCTTTTAAAAATGAGAGAGAGTTGTTCAGCAGTCACTTCTTCTAGCTCCCTTGCTGCTTGTGGGTGCATGCCATCAAAGGCCATGGATATGTGTGCATTGAGTTTGCCTAGCCTATCTCTAATCCGGTCCTTCTTGACCATCAGGAAGTCTTCCTTTCTCCCGACTCATTCTCTTACCTTCAGAGTCTGGGTTTCTGCAGGGCAGTCTTATCAGTCAAGACTAAAGCAAAAGCAGCATTCAGTAACTCCACGTTCTCACTGTCCTTTGTTGCCAGGACCCGCTGCATTTGGTAGTGGGACCTCACTTTCCCTCATCTTCCTTTTGCTATTGATTTACTTACAGATGCCTTTCTTGTTGTCCTTGACCTCCCTCACCAGATATAATTCCAGAAGTGTCCTAGCCTTCCTTCTTGTAGCCCCACACGTCCTGACAACATTTCTATATTTCTACAAAGCGGACAGACCCTTTTTCACGTTTCACAGACTTTCCTTTTTTCCATTTGAGATTTCTCTTGAGCTCCTCGCTCATCGTTGTAGGTTTCCTGCCACCTGCGCTTGATTCCTTACCCATAAGGATTCCCCAACTGTGAGCTTGGAAGAAGTGGTGCTTGAATGTCTACCAGCTCTATTGGACTCTCTTACATTATTTATTGGGCATTAGCTCCTTCTGTTGTTACAAAATCATCCACGGGCAGTAAGAGACACCTGTATCCACCAAAAGATAAACTTCTTTATCCCGTTCCCCCAGCTGTAATTTAAGCAATGGATCTGCTAGGGTAGACTTTCCAAGTTCCCATCCTTCATCTATGCAACCAGAAATTGTTCCCTCTTTCTCAGTAATTTACACATTACTTTCATTCCAATGGGGCGGTGCCCTATCTGGGCTCTTCCAGCCCCCATGTCTCTCTGAGTGGATCCCTGGGTCCTACGGCCCCACTCCAGTGCCGTGACACTAACAGCTGCTGTTATTCCCAATTTACCTCCTCCTCTCCAGAGGCTCCCAGTACCAACACTGGGATTCTCTCTGCAGAGCCTAGTCTCGCTTCCAGTGCCATGTCCTCTCCACCTCCCCCTTTGCAAGTTATGCTGTTTACAGCAGCAGTCTCCGTCTGCAGCTCACTCTCCCACACCAGGTTCTGCTCGCAGGGGAACATTGTGGGGGGTTGGTCTCACACCAGCACAGGCAAACTCACTTTCTCTTTAACCCTTTTTCCTTTGTCGTACCCTCAGTTATACTTCCACATACCCTCCATTCTACTTCTGTATACCAGTAACAATTACCTTTCTTATACCATCAGAACAGTTTGTCCCATTCCTTTCAAAATCCACAAATCAAACCGTACAATTCTTCAACTTCCACAGACACCCAGCACTTGGTCTCTCATGATTAGGGTACTCAATTAGAAAACTGGTCCCATTTTTCCATTTATGTTCCTAGTTTCTTATTTAATATTCCCCCTGGCCCTCCTGCAACATCCTTCCAATGTGACAACATACACCTGAGAGGTGTTTTGTTTATTTGTTTGTTTGTTTGTTGTTGTTGTTTTGTTGGTATTTCTTTCCCTTGCGACCCTCCCATAGCGCTATTTTGTTGTTTTATTAGTTTATTAACGTTTCCACTAATTACTCCTTTTACCCTGAAGTTTCCCCAAAACAATCCCCAAAACTTGTTCCACCACTGCTGTCCACACTCTAGACACGAGTAACACCAATCCCCTTAATATATCTATTTACAAGCTAAACAGAGTATAACATAATCTGGACAAAATAATATGTGAAATATACACCTTTCTTCCGGTCTATCACTGTAATTTATGATATATAAGTTCCCATATTCATCCCACTCCAAAAAGCTCATTTGCATTTACACTAAAAACCATTCAGATTACCTTTTTCCCGATTTATCAAAAATAAGAATTTTACTTCTTTATTGGTGAACAAGAGGGATGGGAATGTAACAAAGGACCCTTGACTTAAGGCACTTGATTAAGAATTGATTTTTTTAATGACAGATTTAATTTTGTTTTAAAAACCAAAACAAAACATTAGGCAATCAAAGAAAAGCTATATAAATACTGGTTAATAAGCTTTAATATCACACCAAAATACTTTTTCACATCAGTTAATATAGTTAATAAGGTATTTATGGATTTTGCTTATATACATACAACATATGGCTTTATTTCACAAAAACAACAACAAACACCAAAGCATTGCTAACAGCAACAATTAGTCACTTTAAACAGATGCTGACAGTGAGCATGAGATTATTTGCCTCCTTTATACTCGTCCATTAAGATCTCATTTTAATCATTTGTTTAGAAGCCATTTTTTGTCCTGCTTATTTGATACTTAAGGATTTTGAATCAGATTCTGTGAATTCTTTTGCCTGTGAAATATCCTGAAGCTAATTCTGCACCTTTTTTATCTCGGCAGCACTGAAAGGTTTCTGTCCAATGCACAGTTCAAGTTGCAGTGATGCTGAATTCACAGGTGAGAAACAGGAGGAGCTTGCTTGATTTTGGTATTCAGCCTTTTGTTCACTCCTAACTGAACAGGCCCTATGGATGAGAACTTTGACTGAGAAAGAGAAATTTCAGAACAAAAATCTACAGAGAGCTGCAGTCTCCAGAAAGGTTTCCAAGTATTTCTCAACTGCAAGATGGATTGCTGCTCACAGGAAGCAGTGTGATCCATCTTGCTGAAGGATGCAAAAAAAAATCTTGCCCCTTTTGATTTTTGATGCCTTTCATCGTTCTTTATATCGGAAAATGTCTTATCTGGTTCAGCTGGGATAGAACTGTTGTTTTCAGAGTTTCTGGTATGATGCCATCCTTTTGATTCAAGGAGAAAAACAATGATGGTAACACAAGGATGTTTATAGTGGCTGATAAGCAGTGTTCTACAGAGCCAAGGCCATTCTCAGAGAAGGGCCCAAGGTGCTGTGAGCTTGGAAGAAGTGGTGCTTGAATGTCTACCAGCTCTATTGGACTCCCTTACATTCCAGTGCTCTAGCTCATGGGATATTAGGCCCTTGAAGTGGTCAAAGTTGGATGTCCTGAAGTCTAGGACTGCTGTCCTAATTATTGCTGTGTTTCTGTGATGCAAGATCCTGTTTTCAGCTGTCTCATGATTGATGCATGCAAGCGTGTCTATAATAAGAGGATTACTTTGTGTTTTGCAGTTTGGTTAAATGCAGTTCAGCTTCTGTATTCTGATCTGGAAGCTTATCCAATTGTCGTTTTGCTGCATACAAGATGGCGCTGTTACAAGTTCAAGACACTTGGGACTACAAACCTACCCAGCTAATTTGACAAGCGTCCAGACTGCACCAATAATTCACGATGTTGAGTAATTGGAAACAAACCTAAGTGAGATTTTTTATCTCTAAAAGCTTTTATCATTCTGCATCAGTTTCCCTTGCCCATAGCATTATGGAAGATCACTGATGCACTATGGGCACTAGATTACAACAGTGGAAGATGAAACTTTATGTAATTTTTGCTGCAGATGTTACAGAAAGTAGTCCTGCGTGTTCTAGGTTGAACAGGAAATTGAAGAATTTCTTTTTCTTTTTTTCCTCTGTCTGCTTTTTACATCCACAACCTACGTTCATTTCCCAAACTGTTTTACCTTCCTGCCTTCTCTGATCTGTCTTTGTACAGTTGCAGTATTAGTGTATTTGTGACAAGACGATTGGTGTACTGTGTCTCTTTTTACATTTTACTCTTTTTATGTCTGAAAGTTGCAGAAGTTACTTAGTGGACATGCCTTTTGTATGTAGTATTAGATGTGATACAAACAAACAAAACTGCAACCATTAACTTAAGGTTGGAAAGTACCTTGTTGTTTTGTTGTTTTGTTTTTTTTTTTTTTGCACTATGATACTTCAGGGCTAGAATATCCCTAGAAAAGCTTCATGGAACCTTGTGTGTTCCTTGACATCTGAAGCACTGAAGCGACACAGCACACGCAATTCCCCAGCTGTGTGGTAGGGGCAGTGTCATAGGATACTCGAAGCATGGGTTCATACCTGTCTTCTGCCATCCTGTCAAGTGAGCACTTCTGGCTACATACCTGTCTCTGTGCTTCCCTGGCCCATCTCTGCTGCTTTGGATTCTATGCTGATTTTAGAACTTGCAGTGCTTTGATATTAGTTGTGGAGAAGTTGTTGGTTAGCGTTCCTGCTGTTGTTCCAGAGTCTTATGATGATCATACCGGGGAGCTGAAGCATTTGTCTGCATGGTTGGATGTTCTGCAGCTTTCAGCGTGAAAAGGTTCGTAACATCTTCAGTTTTAGGCAAAAGATATTTTCTACAATTCTAATTTTTTTGAATGAGCTGACTGCTTTTAGGCACACTATGATGTTACCATGACTCAACTACTGAATCCAGACCAAGTGCTGAATGAAATAATCTCTGTCCTTTTCAAAGATAGGGTAAGTGGAAAACAGAAAGGCTTCACCTTATATGTGCCTAAATGGTCAGTTCCATAGCCCTTGAAACAAACAAATATTTTAATTTGCTTTCTCTGCCCCACTCTGTAAAATACAAAAATTTTAGAAAAAGCATAGGGAACATAAATGGATATATGCAAGAAAAATTGTCCACACGATGCAAAACAGTGTTAAATGAGTTAAATGAGCTCACGTAGAGCTCTCTGACGAATATGAAGCAGTAATGATGATGTAGCACTTAGAGGCCGATGTGAGTGTTGTCTGCTCCTGTAAAAATGTAAGTACAAAAGGTGAGCTGTACAGCTGGGAGAGAGACTGTGTGTAACTGTAACGCTCATTCTTGGTAGTTAAAACACACAAATATTTGGCCAAGAGATCACAGAATTACAGAATCCTCAGAGTTGGAAGGGACCTCTGAAGGTGACACTGTTGGATTTGGGCTTTCGCAGCTCTCAGCTGACTTCATCCTGGGCTGTTTTCTCAGTAATATAAATGCCAGTGGAGTACTTCAATGAAGTGCTTTTATTCATTTGAAATTGCCCAGTGCTAGCTTTGAAACATGATTAAATGATTATTCTGCTTCTCCTTTGCTTTGTACAGCTACACCCTGAAATGCCAAACAAAGCCAGATTTTGGCAAAGAATCTATGAAATTTGAGCTAGAAGCGTGTCAGCTCAGTAAGAATGAAGCAGTTGGTATCAGAAGACAGAGGCTCAGAGGGGATGCATGGGTCTGCAAGAGACTGGTGGAAGACGTTTTATCCAGCTGCCAAGTGTGACTGCTGCTCAGAAAGCCACAATGCTGTGCTGAGACTCTGATCATTATTTTAGAAAAATCACTTTGGAAATGTAATTTGTGATCTCCTTCACAGCTGTATTTCAGAAATCTTGTCAGCTCTTACAGTTTTAACCACCCCCTTTGTGTATATGCCCACTACATGTTTCCTTTTCTTACAAAAACTGTCGACTTTTCCTATACGTTCTGCAGATGTAGCTCGACTGAAATAAAATTCCTTAAACTACCCCATTTTTCATATCTGCTATAAAAAGAAAGTTATTGGTGTTGATATGCTGAGGCTCATTTATGGTACGATTCCAGTTATCAAGTAGATGTGGTACAGAAATGCATTTGCATAATTCTCTTCTTGTCTCTGTTTAAGTAGGATTTATTGAGATCATTAACTAAGTCACAGCTGCGGATCACAGAGTTGAAATATGTTCTCAGTGCCATACCAAATAGAGCCATCTTCAATAAATGGGAAGTTGAGAGGACCAGGACTTAACTGTGATCCTACGTAAAACATTGCTACAGCTCATTACTAAGCCTCTGTGATGCTTAAAAGGTGAGCGCTCTTTCTGATGCTCCCGTGTTCCCTGGTAAGATAATTTGGCACCTTTAAGTTGCAGTGGATGAAGGAAACATCTGTTAGGTTTTACAAGCAGCTGAGAAGGGATGGTGTGAGGAGCGCACAGAGAGCAGAGTGTGGCAGCCTCCTGCAGCTGCTGCTGCCCCACACCCCTCTTGCTGGGCTGCCCAAGGTCTCTGCCCTAGATGGGGACACAACCCCCACTTCCCCCTTTGCAACAAAGCTGAGCACACAACCCAGAGAAGTGCAGACCCCTAAGGAGTCCTTGGCCAGATCACCCTTTCTATGCTCTCAGATGGCTCTGCTGATCAGTGGCTCTGACCAGGATTGGTTTCCATCGCTTACTCATTAACTTATTGCCCTTAATGGCCAGGTACACGTAGAGGGGACTCTCCCACAACTCTTCAAATGCTATTAGCTTTGCTGAGTGTAAGAGGCAAGCACTGATCCTAGGTTAATACAAGTAACTTCTGAGATCTACAGAACTAGGAAGGAAACATAGGAGTTGGTAGAGGTGTTAGGATATCCCTCACAAAACAGTACATCTCCAAGCTTGATTCCTTCTGTTATGCTAATTGCCTTTAGCCTGTGTCAGGAACGTGTGAGAATATGAGCACCACCAGCCATACTGATATCCAAGTAAGCTGCAGTGTCAGAGGGCAGTTCTGTTGGAGCTTTTCTGCACACAAATGCCCACCTACACCTAGATAGGGGCTATGGCTCACAGCACTGTGCTGCAGGTTTTCCTTCACGAAAGGAAATGTGAGTCTGTTCTGTACGTGAGCCACATTATTGGCTCCTTCCTGGATGAGACTTTCCCATCCAGAAGCTACTTACAGGGGCTCCAACGATCCACAGCCCTTAAAGCAGGAGCCAGAAGGATACATTCATCAGCATGGCTGACGAAGGTAGAAGTCTCCATCACTTCTTTCTAACTTTAAGTTACCACTTTGCTGCTCTTCAGGCAGGGAAAGAATTGGGAATGTTTTCAATGAATTTCAAGGGTTAAAAACGTTACTGAATTTTTTCTGTTTCTGGTCAAGAACTTTTCAGATGCAAAATGACATAAATGAGGAACACTTCACAGGAACATATGATGACACAAACCTGACCAACAAATGCAAGGAAAGGCTGCAGTGTGAGCCCAGCCTGGTCAATTGCTTTAACTGACAGATGTGTATAGTATGTGTGCCCATGGTTCAGGCCTGGTTCCACCTGGTTCCGTGACTGATGGGGTGGGGGCCCACAGACCCATGCCTTGAGATGGGCCTAAAAAAACACAGCAGCAATGAGATTTAAGTCCCTTAAACTTTAATGCAAACAGTGATTGCCACAGAGTGAGATTTTACAGGTGGTACGACCAGCACAAGGGTTGAGCTTGATAATAATTGATGAATTTTTTAAAAAAGGAGTTTAAAAAAAAGTTGAGTTTGATAATTGTTGACAGTATACATAACATACAGTTCCAACAAATTAAAGTTTCATATCAGCGCTTAAATAACTTCTGTGCACGACCCCTCCTGCTGCAATATTAGACCTCTGGTTTTTAGATGTTGAAATTTAAGCCTCCTAAATATCAGAAATCAGCTAACGATGTCAGCACTGCAGCTGAGGGCTGTAACTGGCCCAAACTTGGGCTGCTATGCAAGCTCTGAGTTCTGCTTGTTTGCTCTGCTTTCTGGCATGAACACAAACCTCTCCCAAGAGTTCAGATTCTCCCTGAGACTTGATCCGAGTTGCTCTAAGCCTAGAAAATGGGAGAACTGGCTGAATGTGGCATATTGAAAACAGCCTCGTTAATGTCTAGCAGAGCAATATCACGTGGTTGAATAATTGAAATTTTTGCTTGTTTCAACATTCCCTGAGTTTTAATTTAAGAATTTAATACAAAAATAACCTTACATTTTTAGTGTATTTTGTTTTTTGGCTAATATTTCTTGCTGTGAATGAATGACTACTGATGGTAGGAACAAGCAGAATGGGTGAGAAGCAAGATTCACTTGTGGGTTGTTTTGAAGCTCAACTACACCCATGGTGATAGATTATTTTCTTGTTTTTATACTGAGAATTCTGGAATTCTATTATGTCAGCTTATCACAGGTAGAACTGGGAGGGAGAAGAAACTGTGGGGATTAAGAAGTACATGTGTGCCAAGCTTCTGGAAGTACCCACACACAGGGTCAGAATATGTGTTTTGCTTCACTGAGTTCTAATTACCCATTTTGCAGGCAGACAGGTTGCACACAGTCATACATGTGAGTAAGACTTTAAATGGGTTGCTGTGCTGTGCCTAGGAGGCTGTTCTTACTCCTTTCCCTTCGCTAGGATCCTCTTTTACACTCCGAGTTTAATTTATGGTCATTGCACATCAGTGTTTTCTGGGTACTGCTGCTTGGCTTAAATCTTAGCTCTCTATGTTACCATTTCTCTGAGCATATAATTAAACTTGGCTTATATTTTTTCCATTTGAAGCTTGACGTAAAGACATTTCTTAAATGCTCTGCTTAAAAATTCTAACATATAAAATATTATTTTTCATAGAGAATGTCATTCTATTTTTCTTCTTCCCCACCTCTTTCTTCATAACTTGTTTTGTTAGATGGTTTTGCAGAACAGGCAGGAGAATAGTAAGGAGCCCTAAGTGCAAAGGAAACTGACGAAGAGAACTATGAATAGCCTCTGTTAGGACCAGGACAGATATGTATAATTGGGGCTGACAGAAAGAATTAAATTTTGAGGAGAAAGGAAAATCAAGATGTTACCATATTGAAGCTAAACTAGTGCTTGGGTCCACAGAGTGAGAGCTGGTAAAAGCACAACTCAAAAAAAAAAGCACCACAGACCTGTTTATCGTACTTGTTTAGGGTTGAGGCTATTAGAACAATTTGTTTCGACTTTGTTTTATGTAAATAATGTATTAACTAAGAAAATCAGTATTCTGACACGTATAATTTATGAAAATACTGAAGAGTTGGAAATATAAATAGGAATGCCATATAGAAAGCTTCTCAAATATCTAAATGCCACTGAGTTTTCTTGAGAGGGTCCAGTTTATTTGCCAGTAATAACCAGTTCCTAAAGATTCAGCCTCCGGGTAAAAGCTCTCTGCTTGAGAGCTGGCTTCAAAGAAGCTTTGCTTGTCCCCAGTGCCCATTTAATGCTTGGGAAATATATTCTGTTATTTCAGAATACACTGCATACATTCATGGATTCATTTTGTCACCAATGCCACATGGTGTGTCACACCTTTGTCCAGTTGTGATTATGTGAGACTGCACAGTGCTCATCCACAGCCCGCACTGAGCTCTTAAAACTTACTTTTGATATTTCAAGAAAAGGTCCCTCCCTACTCAGTCTCCTACAGATTTCATAATTTTATGGATTCTCCTTGTTCTGAGCACAGGATCAGGAGGAAGATCCTTCTCTTTTGGAACTGTTTTGCCCCATGTTCTTCAGGTTTCTCATTCAATTTCTTCTGGGTTTTCCCACTATTTGCAGTGCTGGTGCCAGATCGTGCACCTGCAGCTTTGGCACTACTGCATTTTCATCCGGAGAGTGTGTTCCTTAGTGTTCTGTGAAAACCAAGAGCACTTTAAAACATCTTTAAAAGAGCTTTCGTAAGACAATAGGAATCTGCTCTTGTGAAAAGCAAAGGAGGCCAGCAACACATGGGGATATGTTAGGAGAAGTGAGTGCAAACCCCTCAGTCCTGGTGAAGCTGTCCTGCAGAACGACGTCCAGTTCTGGGCTCTGCAGCACAAGAGGAGCAGGGAGCTTCCATGGAAAATGCAACCAAATGACACAAAGATGGGGAGGCATCTCAACTCTCAAGCATTTCCTTCTATGAGGAAAGACTGGGAGAGCTGGAACTGTCCAGCCAGCAGAAGAGAAGGCTAATGGGGCATTTCATCAATGTATATGAATACCTGAGGGGAGGCTGAGAAGAAAACAAGGGCTTCTTAGTGGTACCATTGGTGGAACACAAGGCAATAGCTGCTCACATTGCTGAGAGAGGTTGTGGAGTCTTCGTCTCTGGAGATATCCAAAACCCAACTGGACCTGACCCTGACCAACCTGCTAAAGGTGATCTTTGCTTGAGAAGGGGAGTGTGCTGAGCAATTCCAGATTCTTTGTGTGAATACAAGTACAGTGGAGGTGGTAGAAGCAGTCATAACCTATTACCTTGTTCTTTTCTAAGTCTGACTTACACTTCCAGTATAGTAGCATTTCATTCCAATACCTTGAGTACCTTTTGAATCCCAAAAGCCATACAGACCTGCATTAGGTCTTGATTCAAAATAGTGCATGGATAGGTTGGTTTTTTTTTCTTTGGATATGTATGTTTAAATAGATTCAAATAAACTTATTCACTAAATTCTGAAAGCACATTTTGTATAGCTAAAAATTTGGACTAATCCAATTTTCCATAATCACAGAATCACAGAATCACAGAATCACATAATCACAGAATTGTAGGGGTTGGAAGGGACCTCCAGAGCTCATTGAGTCCAACCCCCCTGCCAAAGCAGGTTCCCTACAGCAGGTCGCACAGGTCGGCATCCAGGCAGGTCTGGAACATCTCCAGAGAAGGAGACTCCACCACCTCCCTGGGCAGCCTGTTCCACTGCTCCGTCACCTCACTGTAAAGAAGTTCTTGCGCATGTTTGTGCGGAACTTCCTATGCTGCAGTTTCCAGCCGTTTCCCCTTGTCCTGTCTCCACTCACCACTGAAAACAGTCTGGCCTCGCCATTCTGCCCCCCACACCTTAGATATTTATAGACCTGGATCAGGTCCCCTCTCAGTCTTCTTTTCTCGAGGCTGAACAGACCCAGTTCACTCAGCCTTTCCTCATAGCAGAGATGCTCCAGGCCCTTCACCATCTTCGTGGCCCTCCGCTGGACTCTTTCCAAGAGATCCTTGTCTTTTTTATACTGGGGAGCCCAGAACTGGACACAGTACTCCAGATGAGGCCTTACCAGGGCAGAGTAGAGGGGGAGGATCACCTCCCTCGACCTGCTGGACACGCTCTTTTAATGCACCCCAGGATGCCATTGGCCTTTTTGGCCACAAGGGCACACTGCTGGCTCATGGCCAACCTGTCATCCACCAGGACACCCAGGTCCCTTTCCGCAGGGCTCCCCTCCAGCAGCTCATCCCCCAACCTGTACCGGTGCATGCAATTATTCCTCCCCAGATGCCAGACTCTACACTTGCTTTTGTTAAACCTCATCCGGTTTTTTTCTGCCCAGCTCTCCAGCCTGTCCAGGTCTCGCTGAATGGCAGCACAGCCTTCAGGCGTGTCAGCCAATCCTCCCAACTTTGTATCATCAGCAAACTTGCTGAGGGTGGCCATTATCCCCTCATCAAGGTCATTGATGAAGATGTTGAACAAGACCGGACCCAGCACCAACCCCTGAGGAACAGCGCTGCTTACAGGCCTCCAACCGGACTCTGCACCGCCAACGACGACCCTCTGTGCTCTGTCAGTCAGCCAGCTCTCAACCCACCTCACTGTCCACTCGTCTATCCCACACTTCCTCAGCTTTGTTATAAAGATGTCGAGGGGGACAGTATCAAATGCCTTGCTGAAATCAAGGTAGACTACATCCACTGCTCTCCCCCTATCCACCCAGCCAGAGACAACATCATAGAAGGCTACCAGGTTGGTCAAGCACGACCTCCCCCTTGTGAACCCGTGCTGACTACTCCTGATAACCTCCTTTTCTTCCAGTTGTCTGGTGACGACATCCAATACAAGCTGTTCCATCACCTTTCCAGGGACAGAGGTGAAGCTGACTGGCCTATAATTGCCTGGGTCTTCCTTCTTGCCTATTTTGAAGACCGGGGTGACATTGGATATCCTCCAGTCTTCAGGCACCTCCCCCGTCCTCCAAGACTTCTCAAAGATGACAGAAAGCGGTTCAGCAATCACCTCTGCCAGCTCCCTCAGCACCCGTGGATGAATCCCATCGGGTCCCATGGATTTGTGAACATTGGTGTTGCCTAGGCGCTCCTGAACCACCTCTTCCCTGACAGAAGGGAGGTCTTCCATTCCCCAGATCCTCTCACTCACCTCCAGGCTCTCAGATTCCCGAGGGGCAGCTTTTTCACTGAAGACAGAAGCAAAGAAGGCATTCAGTATCTCCGCCTTCTCAGCATCCCCCGTTACCAGAACACCCCCGTCACTTAGCAGGGGAGCCACATTCTCCCTAGTCTTTCTTTTACTGTTAATGTACTTGAAAAAACCTTTTTTATTATCCTTTATCCCCTTTGCCAGATTTAATTCCAGGCAGGCTTTAGCCTTCCTTGTCGCATCCCTGCAGACCCTGACAACATTCCTGTGTTCTTCCCAAGTAGTCAGACCCTTTTTCCACATTTCATGGGCCTTCTTCTTTCCTCTGAGTTTGCGCACGAGCTCCTTGCTCATCCACACAGGTCTCCTGCCACCCTTTCCCGATTTCTTCCTCATAGGGAGGCACCGATCCTGAGCTTGGAAGAAGAGCTGCTTAAATGCCGACCAGCTCTCACAGGCCCCCTTGCCTTCCAACACCCCAGCCCATGGGACAGCTCCATGTAGGCCCCGGAAGAGATCGAAGTTGGCTCTCCTAAAGTCCAGGATAGCAATCCTACTTTTTGCTTTACTTCTTCCACTCAGGACCTTGAACTCCACCATCTCGTGGTCACTACAACCCAAGCTGCCCCCGACCTTTACTTCCCTGACAAGCCCTTCTCTGTTAGTGAGAATAAGGTCCAGCAGTACCCCTCTCCTCGTCGATTCCTCAACCACCTGCATCAGGAAGTTGTCTTCAACACATTGCAGGAACCGTCTGGACCGCGCATGCCTGGCCACATTGCTTTTCCAGCAAATATCTGGATAATTGAAGTCCCCCATAAGCACCAGCGCCTGGGATCGTGACGCTGCTTCCAACTGTTTGTGGAAGGCCTCATCAACCTCCTCCTCCTGATTGGGGGGCCTGCAGCACACACCCACAGCAGTGTCAGCCATACCAGCCCGCCCCTTGATTCTCACCCACAAGCTCTCCACTGCTACACCACTCTCCCCAGGTGGAGTTCAATACATTCAAGCTGCTCTCTTACATAAAGAGCAACTCCACCACCCTGCCTCACCAGCCGATCTTTCCTAAAAAGCACACAGCCCTCCATGACAACATTCCAGCCATGCCAGCTGTCCCACTACGTCTCTGTGATCGCGAGATCACAGCCATGTGACCACACGCAGATCTCCAACTCTTCCTTTTTATTTCCCATACTGCGCGCATTAGTATATAGACACTTCTGGGAGGCAGCATTCCCCTGCCACACTCCATCCCTTTGAACTCCACCCTGCAGGGGTGGGCAGGTTGAACAGAACACATATTTTCTAGGAGAAGGTGAAAACTGTACGGTTAGATAATATGACTAGAGCTTTTGTACAACACGTAATATCATAGTTTGTCAAATTAAAACAATTGTCAGGCAGACGTGCTTATTTTTGTCAGCCACCTTGAACAATATCATGTAGACTCAGATAACCAGTGAGCAGTTGCCTTGATTTAAAGGAGGACTGTGCTTTGTTAGAGAAAATATGATATTCCGCAGATGTTTTTGTTCAAATCTTCTTGTGCTTTTGGCAGAGAATTTATTCAGCTTCTAGTAAGAAAGAGAAAACGTGAAGTATTTCTAAGGAACGTGACATTTCTGACCAGACCACGGCTGAGTGCTGGAAGCAGCATCCGGGAAGAAGCGCAATTTCTCGGGAAGCTACTTTCCTGATACTCATTTCTTTGTAGAAAGCATTTGATACTAGTTTGCACTTTCTCAGCAAAAGCCAATGTGGTTTTCAGAATAAACAAATATTTTAAAATTAATATGCTCACCGAGTCTCATACTTCTGTGAGCCTACTGCCAGTGTATCCTGTCAAAGATTGAGTGAGTTATTGTCTGGTGATTAAAAAATTCTGAGTATTCTAAAGTAGTCAGAATATTATGGCTGCTACTTATCTGAACAGTGTTTCTTTATGGTTAGCAGAGTAATGGTACACAGAAGTAAAACCTAAGTCTATACTAGAGAAATTTCACCATACGAATACTGTTCATACACAGCAATTCTATAATATCCTATCTTCATCATAGGTAGGAATGTTGAGATTTTCTTTTACTATGTGTTGAGTAAAACTGCATTTTACATGTATTAAACAGATGTTAATCTACTCATCAGACTTTTCTAAATAGAATACACAGTATGCTAAAACCTGAGATCAGACAGTTTTGCTTAAATTTCCTTGTTAAAATCACTCCAGTTGTGTTGGTTATTATGTGAAATGAATAGATATGTAAAAAGAGAAACTCAGCAACCACTAAGAAACATTGAGTGCTCTGTTTCAGCTTTTTTAACCTTTTAGCATTGTCAGTCACTACGGCTGTTCTAAGTTTAGCTCATGGTAAGATATTTTTTCTTGCTTTTTACATCCTACTACTTATTTGATGACTGCTCACATACAACCCTTTAGCATTCCCATGCCTGTAATTTCCAGACTTTGCTTGTAGGCTATGTTTCTGAGACGTCTAATTATTATTATTTTTGCTGCATATTATTCTTCTTTATCTTTCATTTAAAAAATTGTACACATCTTTTCATTTTAAAAGGATCACATCCCACCGTCAGCTTTCCTCAGGGAGAATGGATTGATTATTTCTTCACGTGCCCTGTTCACTTCTATGGCTTTTATCTTCTCCATTTGTTTCATTGTTTTAGATTTATTTTGCTATATCTTGCTTTTCATTCTTTTCTAACCTCTACTGTCCTTACCACGGATGAATGGGTGTCTTTTAAAGATTCCTTTTTCTATTAAAGAAATCCACACAGTGAGCAGTTTCGTGTACCTGATATACAATAGCTTTCAAATTCACTTGGGAAAGAAAGGTATAGTCTGTCAGAGAAAAGAAGGTTCTGAAGGCATATATTTTACATCGCTTGATTTCTTTTCACACTCAGGGTATTGCACAAGTTGTATTTAGTATACTGAATTTTAGTGAAATCGGAATGGAAAGTAAACAAAAGTATTTCAGGTTTAAAAAGCAAAATGGAAAAGCGGAGAGAGCTAGGAAAGAAAACATTTTCCTCTCCTTGGCAACAACATCCAGAAATTTGAAGACAATTCTTAGGCTTAATTTGAAAACATTTCAGAACAATTATTTCAACATACTCCTTTCTTCCTAACAACAATAGTTCAGAGTCTACTGAGCAGTAAGTGGACAGTGACTCCGGTTTCAGAGGACAAACCCAGAAAAAAGGCTTCATATTTCATCTGCTGCTGCTTGGCATGGCGGAGCATGGTGTGATACGGTGAAGTGAAACATACTCAACAGGTACTCATCTTCCACTTCAGAATCTTCAATTTAGTTTTGAGGATACCCCTTCTG